ATAAATGTACTATGATATTTTACGTACAGTCCAGTATTTTTCGCCTTCATTTTATTAGCAATAAGCATCATCAGAACTTTGAAAATTATATTGAATATGCCAGTAAATTCTTACCTATCTTGTCCTAAACAATGCTTTAATAATTACCATTTCCTAATCGCTTTGATTTAGTTAAGCTCTGAAGTATAGCGTATTTATCTTTCCGATCATCAATGATGTGTGTAGTAAAATTCAAAGATAAATTTATTCCGCCTCATACAAATATTAACATTTATGAACTAAATGCCACTTTTACCTTTGCAGTTTACACCATAACTTTGTATTAATTTGGCTTGAATAACAAAAGTGTTGTTTACTCCTACGGCCGCCAATAATAGCCTTAAACAATTTTGCCAGATCAGCAAAATTTTACTTTTGTCAGTTGTGACTGCTAATATTTAGCATTGAATTTAATTTTGTATGGATAATTTGATTCCTATGAAATATGCTATTGAACGTGCATTCATTTTACTTGAGCTGTAGAAGTTCACTCCCACTTCTACTGACAATAATCATTTAAATTCATTTTACCCAAACAATAAAATTTTTTCGGCATATTTATAGCCACTAACAGTCACAAAAATAATTTTGAATTAGAGATGCCTGAGAAGTCAGTTATATGATGACTTAAGTCTGCCATGCTGTAGAAGTAATTTTAAACTAAATAGCCTCTATTTACCTTAGAAGTAATTTCTTTTCTAAAACTGTGAATAATTATGTCGTAACTGTCAATTTTCCCATTTATAGTCCATCATAAACGATATAATCATTATTATACATCAAGGCTGATTAATCTTTGCTATGTCAAATTATGATGGAATAAATCATAATACATTACACGTGAGAATATAGTACATTATATAAGGACTTTAAACGGGACTTGATTAGTTATAACAACTTTCAATAAAACTTTATTAAAACAATGTTGCCTTCTATTGTTATTAATAGTCATCAAGAAGTGACGTGGCATTAAATCAATTTTGCTTCGTAAGCTTAAGCTTTTAATTAAAAATGTTAACAACAGCTTTGAATCAATTTCACGTTAGAAATTATGCTTTACTTGGATGATTGCAAATAACACCGACAATAACTTAGGATCCAACTTGCTGTAACGGTTTTAGTCAATGACGTATACCGCCACACTGCAAAAGCAAATTTTACCTCTGTTGGCAGTAACAATAATAGTAATTTGGAATTAGCATTGTTTTAGAATTCTATGGCGGACCACACCGATCAATTATCACAACGAATAGATTTTGTTGCATAAGCAAATTCTACCTTTACGATGTTATTGTTAGCTGTTTTATTAAGTTAATTTTTTGCTTTAAAAGTCAAAGCGTCTGTTCATGGCCGCCTGTACTAATAAACTGTGAACAGCCTTTATTAATTCTGCGTAAAGGTAATTTATATCTGCATTTACCACTTTTACGATGGAACAGTCTTGACTTGGAAGGTAACCTCTAATAAAAAATAAACGCAACATGAAAAATAGTCTATGTGAAACGATGAGATTGTGCACTAGTATACACCGTACCGTGCCACTAAAGTAATGCTAATGAAGACTTTACGCGCTAATGCTTCATAATCCTGTCTATTTAAATTGCTAAGGCATCACCTGTTGTCTTTGATTACTTCCATTATGCATCTACGTCTAAGAATCGTAAAACATTTGCTAATTTTAGTTTTGACATTGAGGAAAAATGCATCCCGCTGATGATGAACTGAGGGAAAAAAATGGAATCCAAATAAATAGATAATGTATTATTGGTTAAAGTATAAGAATTGGAAATATTACGTATACAGTAAGTGTAAAAATAGAACTCTAGAATGATATCATTGATAGCAACAAGTAAACACCGAGAACTTATCATTTTTGCTATTTTTTATTCTCTTAATAAGCTATTATATAATAGCAGATGAATTTGTTGAACAATAAACTAAAAATAGGCAAAATTCCAAGGAAACAGATTGTATTTGATGGTAAAGAAACATCTAGTTATGCCAATTTAGCCTGTATGACACAATAACAATCTTCATTAGGACAGTGGGACTGAGCTTAAGCCAGGAGTATAGCGAAAATGAATACAACAACTCATTCATAATCTACAATGCACAATTGTTAGTCGGAATTCGAGGGTCTACGTGGATAGTAAAGGCAATCAAATGCATTACGCCGATAATAAGCCGATAATAAGTCGATAACAAGATCAATTCATGATATAACAACGATCTACTTGAGTACGGCAAAGACGTAAAAGCGTAGAAAGCCTGCTGCTTAATCATTTTCGGTTAATACCGCCATAACAGAATACAATAGGATGCTAATTCGTGAAACAATTAGCGAGATTGACAGAACCATCAAGAAATACATAATCCCACATTTGACCATAAAAAACATCAGGACAAAGCCATGCAAAGACTGATGATGCAATTTAGATCAAGCTTATTATTATACTATGTATTGTACTTGTAAGAATAGCGAATAGAAAAAAATCACCGCCAATTACGACGCCGTGATGATCAATAGCTGATTTTGCTGAGTAAGCATTAAATAGTTAGAATAGTTTTCCCGCAAACATTTGTATCACAGTCAATACACGATTTTAAACTTTAATATGTGAAATTATCAATCCTTGGATGCTCTCTCTATTACATCTTGGCTAATGTATTGTATCTCTGTATATATACATTGACCAGTAACATTGGTTAAAGTATGCAATGATATACTCTTGCACAGTTCTGCTGATGATTTACCTACTCGTATCGCTCTGAATACTCTAGATTCTGGCTGTCTTCTTAAATTCTTTAACTTATCAGGCTATTGCTACTTCCTTGAGCCTAATGTATTGCACTCTCAGTAGTAAAATCTAAAATTTATTTTATATGCTGACAGTAGGTGAGCATGAAGCAGATTAAAAATGCTGATATCTTCAAAAGAAGTCACTCGTAAATCAGTGCTCTTCTTTTCCTGAAGTATATCTGCCGCAGATACACGTACATATTAAAATCACGATTGCTAGAAAAGAAGGCCACTACAAATAGACTACCAGAAAAAGACTATTCTCTATTAGTCTATATTAACACTTATATGACAAAATAGTATGCGAATACAAGAGAATCCAAGAAATTATACAATCTACTCGTATACTCGCACAATTGCTACTATATTTGTATATAGACAAAATAATTACCTATTTGTTATCAACCCCGTAATGAATAATTACACATTGCAGGGTTGATAATAAAGAGGTACTAATAGGATTAGCAAGACCGTAATATCCTAAGTAATAGACAGGAATTTCAATTCAGCAAAGTTCACTCTTTTGACTGCCGGTACTTTTCGACGAAAAGCCAAGAAGCAATTTCTTGCTAAAATTACGACTATCGTGGCTATCAATATCGCCATTTATTACTTGATTCTTTCAATACTAAATCATGATAAATCACTACATGAATAGTCAGTCGTTAATTTAATTTCATTGCGGTAATTATTGTTTGTATGGGCACACCTACATCCCTATACAGGTCTGTCAAGATCTACAGTTGTGCCGAGATTTCATCAAAATCATTACAACTTCTATCTGTAATGTCTAAGCTTTTATTAAACAACGATTTAACTAGTACAATCTTAATGATAGCTTATTATTAAATAGTTCCTACCACGCTAACTTAAACAACAATTTATCTAGTACAATCTTAATGGTAGCTTATTATTAAATAGTTCCTACGGCGCTAACTTCCTATTCCACTAAGCAGTGAATGTGAATACCTGGTAGTAATTACTGCGGACACGTACAGGTTTATGCAATAAAGATTATTAATTAACAACCTACACCTAAAATCCTAATGTTAATTATAAGGTATCTTTTTCCTTGAAGTATATTCTGTTATTACATAAAAATGGAAACAAATTCAATGTCATAGTGATGTCAACTTGCAGCTATAGTAAGCAGTACTACCAATCACCTTAGATGCCATATTACCCCTACCTTGTAACATGTTAACTGATAAAATTAATATATTGATTTAATTACCGGTCTCACCGCCTGTCCAAAAATAATAATTGATTTTACTACACTATTACTAAAAACAGTCGATTCTTAGAGAGCAAAATCTAACTTCTCTATTACTGTAAATATGATCAATAATTTAGATCTTATGGGTATTCCGCCGATTGAGGATTTTCTTTGGTGTTAAGAACGCATAGCTTCTCTCGCTTGGCTTCCAAGGTAATACAAATTCTCCTCTAGTGATTGTCATAAATTAAAAATGGGAATTGAATGACGTTGAGAATATATTAATCAGACTAAACTACCAGAGATAACTTTGCAAGCCACGTGGCAATCTTAGAAATAGATATTTCGTCTACCTTAAGCTTAGCCTTGGTAGCTGGAGCAATCGGTTTCACTCGATGCACTTTCAAGTTACTCCCAATTACAAAGGAATAAATATCCCATCTACAATAATAAAATATCTTAATTAACTTTATCTTAATGCTATTTGTTGCTAACCTATCGCTGATACAAGGTCGTTACCAAAAAAGCATCCAATTTTTAAAGTTGAGACCTAAATCATCATTGGCATAGCATACCATCATTGCATTAACAATATCATCAAACTCACTGTATATCGGATCCGAGAAAGACCAGATTAGAGCTTTTATGTCGGTTAAACTCCATACTGCCCGACTTGAACGGTAATATTTGTTGGAATTTCAGGTACAAATGAAAAGAATTCTCCAAACCGTAGGCCAGTCTTACATCAACTGCCATGTACGTGTGTATCCGACAGTCCAGTCTATGATCAATTTTTCAAATTTAATATAAATTCCATACTTATCAGTTGTCCCTGTTATCAGCGTCCATTTTTGAATCGAAACCTTTTTATAGAACTGTCCGCTAACCCTTGAAACTAATCTCACATTCTTAGCAATTATAATTACATGAAGAAAAGTTGATAACTTACAACGTTGTAACAACGAGTTTTTCTTCTTTTACGCGTATTTCGCCCTTTCTACTTATTACCACATCACCTCTAGATACATGATAAACCCCTCCGCCTTTGAAAAGTTTGGAAATATCCGACTTTGATGCTAACTGCCTATATTCCATCATAGGCCCTTCCCCTATGATAGTTCGCTTCAACAATTCACGCGAATCATACCAATCCATCTCGAGGCAACCTGGGCAAAGTTTCTCACATTCTCTCACAACAGCATCTCTTCTATGGCTTTCACAGCCTTGCGAAGTTGTGCAATTTTTAAAGACCTCCAATTGTACAACTCTAAATAAGATTTTGAATATGGCGATAATATCATTAGTATTATAAGTTTGTAGAGACTAAATAAGGATGTCTCATAAGGGAGAAGTACGGTACATAGAAATAGAAAGACAATGTGTTTAAAATTAGTATAGCATTATTCTATCATTGACTAGTAAATAATAAAATCCTCTACGATAGATATCTGTAAATATTTATGTACGCGTTATGTTTATTAGCTGAACCCACGCTAGTGCAGTACATATCGCATCTAGTTAGAAAGATATGATATCCCCCTGTAGTACGATACTTACGTTGTCCTTAATTCATTTGATCTCTTTCGATCAAGGTAATCGTAGGCTACTTTACAATTATAGCTAAAGCCATACTTTATTGCTCTCGAAGAGGCACAATATTTCTTCCAGTATTAAAAATTCATGTTTGATTAATTTATTTTACAAATTAGCCACATTACCGTGTCATTAGTTCTTAAAACGAAAACAGATCACTTATAGCGGTTAAGTTTAGTTAGAAAATAGTTAATCTCTTACACTTAGGGCCGGAAAGTCACCCACGGTAAATTTCGAGCATTGCATTAGACCAAGTAGTAAAAATTTTCCCAAAAATTCTGGCAATGTTCCTTCATAGAGTTTGGCAAGGTAGGTCCTGAGAATCACTGGAGATTCACAGGATTGCTTAGCTAATGCAACACTTATGATCGCGATACCTCTAAAAGAGCATTTTTAATTATATACCATATATAATAAGATATGGCCATATATTAATAGTTGTTTAACTCTACTATATAATTGAATTTATACTCCAATATTTATGGATAAACATCAAAAAGACATACCGTTTGAAACCGAAGAAAATTTTCTCAACGTCTGCTAATTGTGGTACAGTCAATGTATTAAAACTTTCAGTCATGTTGTTAACTTCGTTGCGAAACTTTCCTAATATATGCCTATCTTTTTGCCGGATTGTATTCTAATATATTAAATTAATAGAAAATCATTGAATACTGGATGATGTTCATGCAGATTAGATTTAATCTTCAAAGCAAATTCGAAACTGTCAGAATTCATTCTATATATTATAATGCATACGTTCTCTTCAGCAGAGTCTTGATCTTCGATCTTTTCATAAGATTTCATAATCGTCTAAAGGATTAAATTCAATTAGTACGATAATTTGTAAAGTTAATGCATTAATAACTATATGTATACTACAATGTCATATAATTTTATCAATTTCCGGATTGATTTACTGCGATAGGGTTTCAATTTAGAACGACTATATATGTGTATTAACTGCTATCATCAAAGTGGAGAATAATAAGAAGGAATAACAGTTAAGTTTGGATGTACTTTCTAAGATCTAGTGTGTAAATACCGTTAAAATACAGATGATGCTAAACGGCGTCATTGAAGTACCATGCTTGACTTCGATAATTTAAAAGCAAAACCTTAAACTCTTCCTACTTAGCGATGGAAGGCCTCATATCACTCTGAGTAAATTTATGCACTCTCAATAGTACAAATAATATCTAAAGATATAATGCTATACGGTGTGATTGAAGTAGCAAGCTTAACGTTGACAATTTAAAGTAAATTCTTAAGTACTCTCTTCTTAATTGAAATACTAGCTATGATTAAATTGATACACTCTCAATACTACAAATAATATTGACTATGTAGTTGTTATCCATTATGATATTTAATATTCTTATTAATTCTATAATAGGCGAATTATGTACAAAAAAAGTCAGCTAATAAATTAATCTACCAATATAGCGATTTTTATCACATTATGAATTATACAGCAAACAATAACCGAACCTACATTGTCTATAATTTGGCTTCTTCGATAATATTCTTCCTTAAATACTAATTTATCAGCATCTACTGCTTGGGAGAAAGAATCAGCTATTTTTCGGATGTACAGTATTTTGTAAAGGTATTGACAGGTTAGAATGACAAATATGTAGATATATTTTAAGAATATAGTAGGAGCGTGAGTATACCTGATTCTGGGCCAAAATTACAAGAGCCCGGTGTTTGTTCTTTATATTTTATAGTCCGGCTAAAATGGAGACGATCATGCTATGTCAGTATTAGGATGTAGTTATCTTGTCTAATAACCTTTCTTATAGTACAAATATCAATAGAATTTTCCTAATCCTGATACTTCAGATTTACTTTAACACTAAAAGCATCATTTCAAATAATAATTTTATACGCATTGTTAATGTTGTATCTAAACCCTTATACAATGTGGCCACACTTCAATAAATACCTTAAATTAATATCCTGTTGCACTCCGCTACTATTGGAATGCACTTCACTATTTTGAGTTGCTATACTTATAGTTAGCACTCGTCCACGACTTTGATAGGGAATTTTACGAGCAGCAATCGTTGTTGCAAAGGTTTGAGTAATCTAGTACGAAATTATTTGAAAGCTTAACATTGACAACTCCATACATAATAGGAGTGCTATTCTTGGTCGCATTATTCAAAAAAGAAATTGAATTACAATATGGAAATGTACAATTTAAGGTAATTTTACCGAAGGAGGATTTAGGTTACGGTAATAAAATACAGTGCTCAATATTTAAAAAGTAGGAATCGCTTCAACATCAATATACGCAGCCACGAAATAACTTTTGTTGACCTATGATAGTTCGTAAATGTACAGCAACTATAAGTATTCCTACCTCATTGCTAGTCATTCCATTACAACTTGCAGGCTGTTGGTAGCAGTTTCCTGGAAAGTATTCCCCAAACAAGCTATTACTGTCCTTCTCTCCAAGGCACTTGTCTTCAACTAGGCATTTGCCAAAGGGAAGACTCTATTGTCCAAAATAGATAGGATTTTATGCTCTAGATTTTGTTTAATGAAATATTAAATAAACCTGACAATATCATATTTTTTGAATTATTAGGCTTGTATTATTGCACTAAAAGCTAGGTTTGCTTAGTTTCAAATTTGATGATGCTCGTACTGCTATAATTATTTTGATATCACTTACTTGCAACCTGCACTCTGGTTTAACAGCCTCCGAACAATTAAACTGAAGCTGAGGGAGTTCATAGTAAATCTTAAACTCGTTCAATTTTATTAATTGTGACCACCCGTCTTCAGACTTTGAAAAATAAACTTCTTTATCCTGCATTTTCTTACTCTCTTTATATTTGAATTGAAATCTGAAGGATTTATAATCCTCATCAGATTCCATGGAAGCAAGCTAATTTATTATAAAAATAGATCATTAATCCAAGAAAGCCAAATTTTCGATAGAAATTTATATGATTTAATTAGTATACCAAGAAGAGACTATCTATTAACTTAACGCAATTAGACCTTGATAGGTTTATTTCTTGATTGACCCACGTTTATGTTAATCTGGGATTTACCTCTCTAGATTATGAATATGGAAAACACGTAACTTAACAATGATATCCTTAATTTTGTTTTTGTAACAGCTAATATATCAGTAATATACTTCATGAAATAATTTCTATATGTGCATAAAGTAGTATTTTATATTTTTTGCATAATGCATAATTATCTTAGACTTATTTAGTTACATAACTATCTTAGGCTTATTTAGTTATATGACTATTTTAGGCTTATTTAGTTATAATCTACATCGCTATACTTTAAGAAATCGCATACTGAATCCATAGGTGAAGTTTCTGTGTCAATACGCGTATTAGCTTCTGAATGAATAACTAAATATAATCAAAGAAGCTACATATCATAAAGTTACTTTTATGTAGTGATACAGACAAGGCTATGAAAAAATAGTTACAGGTAAAATTAGTTTATCTTACGATATATGATTGAAACGAAATTCATTGTGAGTTTCGGCTTGCTAAGTAGTTATGGTATGAGCTTTTGATTAATACACTCATACCCGTACATGATACAAAATCTAGAGCTCAACTTCATCAAGATTATGATTTAGGACAATTATCAAAAACATCTTTTACATCTAAATTTTCTGTAATTATCATATTGCAAAAATTGTATAAATTTTACGGCAAACCGTTAAAATAAGGTACCAAAACAGTGCATGAATTTATATACGTATGCCTAGTTATCATAACTACTAAATGTTTAGCATGATTAATACGGAAGCAATTTACGTGACCGACAAAGAACAATTCTCAGGATCATATGATCTGTTGCATTCATAATTGATAAGTCGGGAAATTTTAATATTTTTCTTTTAAGTTATTGTGTTCGGTGCATATTAGAGTGATAGCGTACTACAGAATTTATATAGCTTAATTTAACAGGTTGTCTCACAATTTTCAATAAGCTTTTATGAAGTTGTGGTTCAAGAATGAATAAATACTAGATGATGATATTAATAGCAATAATACTTAAATAGTTTTATTAATGCAATTTTAAGCTGACTATAATCTCAATTTTAATATGCGTAGCTGACCTGATGATATCTAAGCATTCGAAATAAATTATAGTTACTAGTTAAACTACTGACTACTGACAGTTGACTGGATCCTATTTATTTAATTCATTACGGTACTATACTAACTGTCGCCCATTTAGAACTTCCTTTAGTACTGTACGTACGATGGTAATTCTCATGTGCAATTCGTAGACGACGTAAATCGTCGATTAAAATTAGTGTAATCGTTAGCTTTTACGTATTAAGCAAATTACACTATGTAGTATAGCTATAAAAAATTATAGTATCTAAGTAGTTTTACCATGAAAGTCATCATAAAATGTTTGTAATCCACTGAGCTTTTGTAAACGCGATAGTTCATAAAAACAGGGTAGGTTTCTATGACTTTCATTGAATGTGCAGAGTTCTCCAGTAGGTTGGTAACGACGAAATGATAGCATCGTTCCTTATACAGATTTCCTAATCGATTAGTAAATTTCAGATTTATTTCGTAAGCTTTTCATTTTTTCTAAATGGCCATGCAATCAAGTACAGAATTATTCTATGCATCTGCTATCTATAATTTAGGTCATATTTAAATTTTAACTATTTACAGCTAATTCCTGAATTTTCTCGATTAATTGATTTAATAGCAGATACAATATTTCACATCAGGCTACAGTATATGCTAGTAATAACTCTAGGGGTATTCCATATCCGACAGTACTATACTTATCTAAACGAATTGCAGGTACTCAACAAGAGACTTGCTTACTAACTCAACTATTTAATCATTATGCTACTTTTTGTCCTCCGTATTTCATTTATATCATATCGTTAATAGCCGTTATCTACCGAAATATGTTACATTTAATGGATAAAGTAATTAAAAAACAATTTCTAGCTTCAATCATAATTAAACATTTTCTCAGTAGGCTAACTACAGTACAAAGATTAGGATAAACAAATAGTACCATGTCTAGGCCATCTAACAGATAATCAAATGACATCTAGTCATCTATTAATTAATAACAATAATAATTAATCGAGTACAAGAATGCATGTTTACAATTTGAGCCCACTTACGATATGGAGCATCTCATGTAATTTAAAATAATTGTTACAGTTTAAATATATTGTGACGTATACTAATGCATTGTTCTTCTTTCAATAACATACCGGTACTTAATACGTTTGATAGCGGCAATTGCATAGAGAAGCCTATAGCAATGCTAATCATTATGATCAATGCTTTTTCCTGTAGCATTATCACGGTAGCGGTAATTCTTTTATGTCAACAGTTGAAGTTCTAGAAAAATAGATAAAGTAAATTTTCTCTTTAATGTATTATTGTCAAATAATTATAAATAGAACGAAAAAGGGAATAATTACTATATGTCGATTGTACTATAGAATAAAGGTTATTACAAAATCTTGTCTTGTATGCACTTTTTTATCTATGCGCTCGTATTGTACATTATTATGGTCTGTAGTCTATGTTTCTATAAAAATTTTAAAAAGAGCCAGACTAACGTGGTTTAATAATTGTAAACAAACCATATCACCGCTACTCTGCATTTTTTCGGGTACTCCTTATCAATAAGACTTAAAAATGGATTCATTTTTATCATACTTATCTATTTAACCTACATATTTTGAAATTTCATTATGTATTGATCAAGTTATAGGTGAAGGCTTTTATATTTTAATTTAACGTTGAAAAGCATTAAAGTTGCAAGAGGGTTACCGCTGAATCTCTTACGATTATGGATCAATAGTTGGTTAAATTTAGTACTATCGATACTACATTGGACACTGTACAGTATATCTGTTTGCAATGTTAGGAAAATTGCAAAAAAGGGTACCGGTATTTTAAAAAAAACTAAGCAGACTGCAGAAAATTAGGACTTTTGGAAGCAAGTATGAATAGTAACAACCACAATAAAATCTACTTGCAGTAGCTATGTTTGGAGGTAGATCCATATCAATGCACGAGTAATATTTGAAAAAGATCTACTAATTAACGAGGCTATAGCTAGATGGCATTATAGCTTATTATTTGTAATTATCTTACTTAGAGGTGTAGGCTTGAAAATGAAGATACAAGTAAGGGAAAATGATTCTATTGCAATCTTAGTTTGCTAAAATGTAAACAACAAAAAATAAAATCATAGGGTTATCTAGCTAGTCAATTAACATTGAGAAATTGAGTGATCGTATCTTATAGCGATACGTTAGAAATAAATAAAATTTTGAAGGTAAGAAGTAAACTTATAACTATAAGCAACTGACCTGATAATGAAATTGATGCTGGTAGATCTTCGTAGCAATAATGAGTAAATGTATGCATAAGCTACGTCTTTTATAGCCTCGGACTTGGTAATCTGAAAAGAGAGTAAAGAATATAAAAAGCAACATTCTTTGGTAATACATTGCTACGCATTAATTATATCCTAGAAATGCGCATGTAGCTCCACTATACTTTGATTGTTAAACCAAATTCTATGACAGGACACGTGAAAGCTGGCCAATAATCAATTAGATTCCGTCGAAGTTATCGTTGATTGCTGAGACATTGTCTATGCTATTCTAGCCGCAATTGTTTTTGAGTCTTAATATCACAGAATACTATGACAACATTATTTTCATGACTTCATCATGGAAATTACCTTTATTTTAATTCTGTCGACTCTGGCCGTGAGATCCGTATCGTACCATCTAGATGTAATCTTAATTGAGTCGTTACTGCCACGTAATCATAAAGGCGAAATAGCTACTTTCCATATCTAATTACACCGTACATTGACTGTTGAGAAAATTGGCAAGTGCAGTCAATTATTGCCGTTAATCCTTTCGAACTGTAATTATAACTTTCGTTAACTCCTTCATGAGGCCATTAAACGCCATCATCCTGGATTAATTGGCTAATGAAGAGCATACATGATCAGAGATGAAGCTAATATGGAACTCGAAAACTGCATTAACGGCCGGCAAAAGCGTATCTATTCATGCATACTTGTAAACAATGACATCATATATTTGTTTTGCATGAGGGAAACTATTTCAGCGAGTATGATACCTTGTTACTGTATTTGCTGTATCGGGCAATACGGTAACAATAATCCATAGCTAATTAGACTTGGCTGCACTTTGCGAAAATGCCGTGAAAGCTTTGCAACTCTTATGCGCATTATAAACAAATGCTAGTAAGGCACGTAATAATACAATGCTGTGATCAACGTGGGATAATAGCGACTTCAAGGACAATTAGTAAAATTCCTCTTTACCGTTGTATTATATTTTAGCCTACAATACAGTATTACCGAATGCGCCGTAGCGTAATAAATAGCGTAATCGGACCTGAATGTTATTGTTGTAATAGAGCTCTACCAGCATATGTAATTTATGTTTATGTTATTTACAGGACATGATTCTTGAATTTCAAAATGAATCGTCAACCTTTTCAATACATTCTTGAAACAATGTACGAATAGTATGTGGTGCTTTCATTCATTCTATCCTAGAGAAGGTTAATTATTTAGTCATGTACCGACAAAATCGTAAGTAGAAAGCCAACAATAGTTTAAATTCTTGAATGGTAGACAAGTTATTATGAGCAGAAGTAAGATCGCAATAATAGATCCTATAAAGAATTGGACAAGCAGAACAAAAAAACTGATTTCATCGTATTACTGTAATGGATGCAGCGTTATTACGGTTAAATTTCGAATGATCTCAATTATGATTTATAAATAAGGTAGGTTCATTCAATACCCTGCAATGACTATTGCAGTTTACATGGAGTATAAATATATTTAAGAATAGCCTACAAATAGCGGTGGAAAAGAAAACATTACTTTTTACTGCCTACTTTAGTTTCGCTTATAAATTCACAGACGTACTGTCTTATTGCCTTTTAAAAATATATAAGTTCAATAGAAATCGGCTTCCGGTCAAAGCTCCTTCATACGTAAGAGGCCAGCCTTATGAATATGATAAGGCGACAGAATGAAGAGGTTATATTTTGACCCAGCTCTAACTGTATTCATTTTTATTGTGAAATTCCATTTCCTGATGAAAATTCAGGAAAAATAATCAATTAATTTTGACAGTAGTTCATTCAATCGTTCATACAGAATACAAAAGTTATAAGAATTTCTAGCTATATATCTGGTAATAGGATACACATATTTTAATTTAATAATCCGTTTAACTGCCCTATTATGCAATATACTGTATTTATGAAAGTATAAACTTTAAAATATTTATTATTCCATAACAGCAAAATATAATCATAATTGTGATTATATCAATTATAATAATTATGTAACCAAGCTATTTACGTCCAAGAAATTCGAGACCATATTGACTATTATAAACAATAGATACCAATTATAATTATCAGTCCAAATTAAACAGCGCAATTAACGCTTAAGCTCTCTAAATATATAGGGATATAGGCAAATCTAAACGCATTTAACTACATGTATATTTCGCACCTCTTATTTGTAAATAATTAAACATTACTATTCGAATCGAAGTGATAACTAATTGATCATCTTTGCCTTTAAAACAGCAGTTGGAACACTTTCCATTGATAAATTTAGTTTTAGTTATATGCCATTAGACGTTTGACTTAAAGATTTCAAGATGTACAAAAAGTGAGCGTATATTAGTAAGATCAAGCTGCCAATTTATCATACAGTTCATTTTAAAGTGTGTACGTATTAAAGCTCTTAAAGGTCTAATAACTAAAGGTCTTTACTTGACGTCGAGTGACATTCTTGAAGTGCTATATAAGTAATTTCAGCTCGATCACAAATACATGTGGACAATAAGCTATTTGAGAGAGTTTCAGAAATGAACTATAAAAATGCATTCTCATTATTACTGTTAAATAGAACAGCTAATAAACGTTCGTTATCTTTCCGCTCTCGATATTTTATACGAGTATATGAAAATTCATAAACACTTCTATTGTTATTCTTATCACGGTAAGTCGAACGAACTAGTTGCCAGCTTGTATAATAAAGGTTATAAAAACAGGAAACAATCAGGGCAATTTTTGTCCGATTATCTATCAATAAACCAATTAAATAAATTTTATGTATTTTATGTCATTCAGAAGGCATTGTTAGATATCTCGTTCTCAGTATCCTACAAAATTGTTCTAAAGAAGTACTCTAAAATTATTGCTAATCCTTAAGAACTTGAAACGGTACAGTATATTCGCTAAAATATTGTATTTCAAAACAGATATTAGATCTTTGGTTAATTTTTTCCATTTTTCTTTCTATTTGTATATTAACGCAGATCATATAAAATCGTGATTGCATGAAACTAATTTATTACATGATTGATGTATTAGACTCATTGTGACACATGATTACGATCACCATATCATACGAGTTTTGACACCTAGAACATACGTCTGCAAAGGCCATAACTGACAAAATGATGAAATGTTGATGTTATTATGCAAGATAGGGATTTCCTGCCGGCATGTAATCAGGCAGCGGCTGGTATTTGATCGCTGTTGTCTGTAGTTTGGTTGACATTTCCCCGCATTATTAAATGTTTTATAATCCGCTATGATAACAAGTGCAATGCAAATACATGCGAAAAAAGTATTAACGATATAAAGACAGAATCAATCACTGACTTTAGTATAACATCCGGGATTGATTGCACAATGTAAATTAATATGAGTTCACACAATGTAATAAAATTAATTAATCCGTGGATCTTACGCAATAAGATCTGATATCTGCACAATAGCCTAATATTTAGGATCACAAAGTAAGTATAATAACATTTCTAATATCCCATACATATTTAATCTAAACTTAATCCACGTATCTATATTATCGACGTTTTCGCTGACGACTTTTCCAATATTTCTTTTCTATCCAGGTATTTAGCATAAACATACATCAGGCTTCCAAAAACACTTAAGTAATAAGAAAAAATATATACTAATCAATTGAAAACAGCTTTTGTATATCCAAGTTGTGGTCATCATATAGATAAGATCATTAAGGATTATCGCTTTGAATATATTAAATTTCATTTATTGTACAGTACCTTATATTAATTCCCCAAAAATTGGCTAAAGTGAAGTGATATTCACCCCCGTATGACATGCCATAATATGTTACAAAAGTATTCTAATATATCATCCCGCCCACAAATACAGCCAGAAATCAGTTTACAAGAATGCATAATTTAATAATGGTATGCAATTTAAAATCGAAGACCTTCTCCTTACCTTTAAACACCCTATAATTGAAGTTGCTAGGGCAGTGTTATATTTTGTACATAACATTGTCGAATATACAAGGACGATTCTATTTTACGAATTGCAGAAAATTAATTTGAAGAAAGCATAATCACCAGCATATAAAGTGTTAAGAATATCGATTTTATCTGTGTTAGTTATGCAAGTAGACTAACCCTAAAACACATGATGCCATAAAGCACATAGTAGAATAGTAATCACTCCACCCGCTATAGTTTAGAGCCTGTAAAGAACATAAGTACACAAATTGTGTAAGACAGTTGCTAGAGATATAAACTTTTACTGTTACGAATTACATTGTTGAAATCCCCTTGGTAAGATGTTAGAAGGATTGCCGGTATAGTCATTACTAATGCGTTATAAAACATGAGGCCAAAAATGCCGAGTTCCTAGATTGTTACGTGAAAATAATTTTATAAGCATATAAGATTCTAATGGTTTATAAATCATGTAATAACAATAAAAAAACGAATAACCTTAGTCTCGATTTTTTTCTTCGTGTAAACCCCTGTAATGTTGTATATTTGATTAGCGTCAACGCGAATAAAAAATGAATTCGCAATTAATTCATATAACAATACTAACTTTAGGGCGATTTAACGAGCGTATTAACGTTTAACATATTTTGAACTGTGTTCGTTATACTTTTGTGTATACAAGATAGGCTACTAAGTGATTTTATGCTCAATTAAGCTTCCTATCTTCTTAAATTTTATATTACTGATAAATTAGAAATTTGTCAGATATTTTCGTCAATATTAAAGACTGTAAAGACTTAAATTACAACATTTCTAATAAATATGTTGTTCGTGTTGATTGTTATTATCTTGAAAGGTATTGTACTTGGTTTTTAGTGTCGAACATTTTAGAGTTATTTAAAGCATGACTGCAAAACAATTTACTTATAAATCTGAATAGCTGATGAATATTATAATGTCACACACTAAGATACGACATTATGAGTATATACGGTAGTAAGTTAAGTAGGTTACTAACCATTTAAAGCACTTGATAGGTTATTAATTAGTACGGCAAAGTAGCCAATAAAATTAAAGGTGAAGTCGTTTCTGCATTATACAAGTTATCCATGGTAAGGGTTAATATGAATGAGATAATTTATGAACAAAAATTATTAATATTTAGTTGATGTCCAATGATATAGACTTACATTGCAGCAATTACTGCTCCTAATATCATAACAGAAACAGAAATTTGGACCATGACATGTACTCGCTTAGTTAGTATTATACTTTCCAGAATCATCGTGAATAATATAGTATATCTTCGTAATACAGTAAACATAGGCAAGCTGGGAAACAGAGGTGCGATTTAAGTAGTTAGTATATTGATTGGATTACTGGCTTGCAACTTAACATACTTTAGCGATCCAGTTCCTAGTAAGCCCAAGGATAGATTGGTAAAATAAAAGAGCGGTAGTGGCCAGATCTTTGTCGTAAAGAAAATGAAGTATAGTTAAATCTAAAGAACATCTAACAAAGTTTTAACATGCAATTTATAAATTTAAATTACTTTTTAGAAGATATAGCATCAATAAGCTGCATTCCATATAAAATTTTATCTAATTATGTATTAGTAAATTGTAATACTCTCTATCAAGTGATAAAGGAAGGTTTTTGCACATGTTAATCTAACATGAAGCAAATGATATCATAGACGTACCATCCTATGACAAAAATTAAAACGAAGGGAATGTACAATATAAAGCATAAGTTTATAACATCAGTGCTATACTATTCTCACTCTTCTTTATAGTTAATAGACGTATGTATAATTCTTCGCAAACGAGCTACAAAACCATCGAATAAGTAGCAGAGGCTATTTCAGCAGTACTGTAGGTTAAATAAGTATTACATTTTGCAATATGTACTACGTAAGCTTTTGTACAAGTATCCAGTCCATCAAAAATATGTACCTGAGTTTTTACCAACAAGCAAAAGCTAATAACCTGGATATAACTAGATTATTGCATCGAAATAATAATTCATGGCCAAAGTTTCGAGTGTATTGCAATAACATTAGCAGGTACAAGGATTCGGTTACTTACCGATTTTAATGTTTTCATCGAACAAGGAGGAATTTTAATAATAGAAAATAGTCTTGCGAAAAGTATCACCAAGATCAGTGTTATCATCTGTAGAGACAATCAAAAAATTACTACATAAGTAAACATCAGATTACTAATCGCACTAAGATTTACAAGCTTTTAATTTACTATGTATTATTTAATCCAGTTAAGGATAATAAACGATAGTCTACGTAAAATTTGTACTAGCGTTGAAAATTAAAACATGATAGCACTTGTATCAAGCAGCATAGGAGATAGTTACATTTAATAGAAAGAACTCGCGTTAAGATTATTGCAATCCTTACCTGTCCCAGACTGACAAAGAGTACCGATGGAAATCTATGTGGGCATGGGACGTAGTGGACATATTCATAGATGAAAAATAATCGTGCATAAGAAAAGCAGATTGTAACACACAAGATATATATATTAGGTAGGACAATAATACGAATCTGCAGTGTCCAAAAATATGACGATACTATACGCGTAAATGGTTTGTAGCTTCTTCATTCATAACTCATCCATTCGAGTTACGAAGTAGTTCTGCGTACACTGAGTCTTTGATATTAATAACTCGCTTATACTTATAATGTAGGGTGTAAGATGATAAAATTAAGCTGATCATCATTACAGTCTAATTCATTAATTGTTGGTAATAAGCGCAATATGAGCCTTAAATAATGAAGTAGGCATTAACCATCACTCGACATTTTGTTGAGTGCAATCATGATCATACTGTAACTCATTTTAGCGTTCTTTCTTGTCTTCTTCAATGCACAGGTATTGCTGTTATCGTAATTTTACGAAATTATTTCAAGACGACGTAAAATGATGAATGTAATGTACTGTACAGTATGTACATCGCATAAGCAAATGTAACTACGTACAGTAGATATTGCGTTGATGCAATCATGACATCAATGCATCCCACGTAGACCTGACCTTATGTATAATTGACTATGTTATCTCAGCAATTTACTGGAACATTTTTGTAGCGATTTTTTAGTGGTGAAGGATAATTAAGTTAGTCAATATTATTCTAGTGTATTGGCACACAACGCTATCTCTAGACAAGGTATTCGTATTCCAGTAATGAGCGACGTTGAAGATTGGGTTCAAATCATCAGCAAAGCTACAAGTCATACTGTACTGTACAGTTATTTACCATCAAAGGTGGGAATGTCCCCCAAAATAGCCATTACTAGTCAGTTATGAATTGAATTTCTACAGAGAAAGCTTACTACTTTAGGCAGAAAGTAAACTGAATACACCCGCTGTCAATTGTAATTACTTTTTGGATGGTTGTCTCGATCATTTAAGGTAATCTGAGGCCATATGAGACCTCGTTATTATGACGATGAAAACGAAACGAATAATGAGGTACTGCCACTCCTAGGACGAAACAACTGGGAGTATATAATTGTTGTAGTCACATTTTATGCATGACGGCTAAAAAAGAAAAAAATTGAAATGTACCTTTACTAAAGAATAGTCCTAATGCAGTCATAGATAGGTATAATATATTGGCAAGTCATTGATGACATGGACGAAATAAATTGATCAAAGTTGGTCCAATAGAATGAATGAAATACTTCAAGTACTGGATTGGCTAACACGGTTATGATAGAGTTGAATAGATTGACATGGCTAGCGTATCGTTGTATTTCTTCATGAAAGGAAGATATTTAAATTATTTACTCACTCATATTGTGTCAACAAGGCTTTATTCACCAAGGTAAGTAACAAGGAAACAACGGCATAAAATAGCGCGGATAATATTTGTTTAATAATTTTGCTTCGACCCCAACTTTCACAATTCATCGATCATTCATTGGTCTATTATCATCTAGTGATTGGATAAAAGTTACCTACATGTACTCATTGAAGTATACTCAGTACATGGGATTGGCGATTACTCTTTGAATTATGCCACTCGTGCTGATTCCATCCTTCAAGATGACTACCATCGATCAGAATAAAAGTAGACTGAAGATTAAAGAAGAGAAAATGATGAGAAAATTGCAGCGACAGTGCTTGCCACTCATTTTCACTTCTCCGTTACAATGCAATGCAGTACAGTGTTGAGATCCTGTACTGTACGTTTGATACAGTAGTACAGAGTTGTACTGTACAGGAGTGTACAACTCTGCCGTTATACTGTACAGTATGAAAAAAGGAACCAAGGTCCTCTAGTACTGTATACCGTAGCTATCTCATCGATGTTGGGTAACTTTGCAGAACTTAGCGTACAATATACTGTAATGGTAGAACTTCCATTTGAGTCAAAAAATAGGTAGAGAATACTAGGAACAGTATCAAATTTAGTCTGCCGTTCGATTGCACCCTAATAAGTAATTAGAGCTCAATCAACTTCATTTCCCCCCAAATTGACGTTGTTTCCTTTTATACAGAACCAAACCTTCGACAGGTGTAACTACAGCACAGTACTGTAAGCAGGGACCGTATGGTACTGTGGTCAAAAGCGGGAGATGGTCGAATAGACGGTCAGCGTGTTTGTGTGACTGTGGGATTACCACTCTCCCCGCCGCAGTGCAGTACAATACAATGTACGGTGGCTCACAAGGGTCAGCGCAATACAGTACAGTACGTCGTCAGAACTGCTGATACTGTACTAGTACTGTACATGCAGCATTGTAGCAAATGACTGTAACAACAGTGTACTGTACAGTACAGTACGTGCTCACTGCTCACTGCTCTCAGTCGTCACTCAGTACAATGGACTGTAGCAAGAAGAAGACCTGTGCTAATCACTCTTGGACGGACAGACACCTTCGGCCTTATCTCGTCCAAATATTGTGTCAAACACTTCGTTATGACACTACTTTAGTATGCAGATGGTCGATTTTGCATTGACTAATTTTTTTCTAATGAAGTAATATTACGCTCAATCTTATGATCTGTTCCCAAGTTTCACTTAGAGACAGTGATATCAGATCGTCGATGTTATTACAATTAGTACCGGTGATTTAGAAATCAGACGCCGAAGATTCATACTACTGTACAGAACTTACTGCTTACTGTACAGTCCAGTACGGTATTTCTAGTACAGTTACTGTCCACCCCGTAGGGATTGCAATCTGTCCAAATTTGTTCAGCTGGCGACAATGGGCGCAACGTCATCACTGTTGGTGTCTTAAGTGTTACAAAGTTAACTTTTATCTGTGAGAAGTTTTTCAAGAGCAAAGTCTGCTGTTCTATACTGTACGTAACTCTCCGTACAGACAGTAGCGTCGCTTTGCTAAATCAACGAGTACTAGAAGAAGACCAGAAGAAAGCCTCCTTTCTCATTCTAATTATTAATTAATGAATGCATTATACGGTTCGCCATCATGGATGGACTCTACGCGTCCTCACAGACTGCTGACGTCACATACTGTAGATATGGACCGTAACTGTCCAGTACAGTACAGTACCAGTACACCACTACCAGCGTGTACAGTACGGTACAATGCACTATGATTCGACAGTACTGTACTGTACTGTACTACTGTATACTCAGTGGACTGCTCTGCTGGTAAAGCTGTGGTAGGCGAAGTCATTGCCGTAGCTGAGAACACTGTTTAAAGCATAGTAGGAACTTGATACAAAGTCGTCTTGATCATCAGGCGTCAATGAAAAATATCAAGCCATTAATTAGTGCGCATAAATTGCATAATACAGTACACCGTCCAGTACAGTACCAGTACACCACTACCAGCGTGTACAGTGTACTGTATTGTACACTGTAGAGCACGGTACAATGTACTGTGGTTCGACAGTACTGTACTGTAGTGTACTATACTCAGTGGACTGCTCTGCTGGTAAAGCTGTGGTAGGCGAAGTCATTGCCGTAGTGAAGCTGAGAACACTGTTTAAAGCATAGTAGGAACTTGATACAAAGTCGTCTTAATCATCAGGCGTCGATGAAAAATATCAAGCCATTAATTAGTGCACATAATACACCGTGCCGTACAGTACAGTATGACGTTAGCGGGTACAACGTGCCACATTGTACAGTCAAGATTTACTCATTGAAGAAGAACCCAACGAAAAGGGCTACCAAGGGCTACTAGGTAAGCGTATTTAGATAGAATAGCTTCATTTTCGCTTGTTTTATCGTTAATTTATTATCAGAAACAATCTTTTGATATCACCATTACCATCATCTAATCTGGAGAGTATAATAGCTGCAAATGATCGTACTTGTATTCGATATTCATCAAAATACTTGACTGTGCGAGCATAACATGTTGGTTATGAATTGATTGCCGACGAGGAGTAGCGATAGAATTACATCTGTTGCCTTCTTATTTGACCGTTGGTCATGATAATGCCAAATAGAATATCCACACACTAAGTGTTTTATTTGTACCTATCAGTAACAAAAGATTTCCGATGGATTGAAATAACAGGCTCCTCTATGAAGATTAGGGCAAAAAACTGCCTTTTAAATTAGCTCACCAATGCTAGTGATACTACAGTATTCGCCAATTACAGTATAAAGCGATGTTGATTACTGACCAACATCGACGAATGCCACCATCAACGTTATTAAGGTATTGATTTAAAGTACGGCAATAGGATAATTATCAACAACAATTCACTCATAAGTTAGCCAGTAATATAACCCTGATGATGATGAATTGTGTATACGCCATTAACTGTTGAATGCAGGGTAAATTGATTATTACTTGACGGTAAATAAGATGCGTTGAAAAAGATTACATGACTGTGAACTCGAGCTACCTTGCAATATACCAATCCAAGTATTGTATTACCGATATGGGCAAACTTGGCACTAAGATTATCTTGACTACAGGATCAAAATCTGCTTTAGAAACCAGTTGTTATCATGTTGGGCATAGAAACTAGAGTCGCAGATGACATTCTCTGAATACGTACGTCATCAGAGTTCATAGGGCTTAAATTCATCAATTACCATTATCAATTCATAATGATAAGACACTCGGCATGAAACTATATATTGAGATCCTGTAGTGCAATATAAATGATAGACTGTACTGGACTTTCATTCGTAGCTAACTAGCTTATAGAACTATTTCTACTAGTGTACAGTAGTATAGTGCAGCATGTCATAGTAAGATACGTATAACGATGTACCGTAAAAAGGACTCGAACTTTTCCGATGATGATGACAAATTTCCATCAATGACTTGTTAACTCATTCCTTCAAATGATCTATAGTACATACAGGTATGCATGTATGTATATCTAAAAAGATACGTTAACATCACAGTAAAAAGATCGAATGATAGATACTCTACCTTTCGGCCTACGTCGACAGTACTACAACGTTTAGCAAGAAGGCTTTGATTACACCGCTACCTGCTGCTAATAAATTTGCTCTTACGCGTATACAACTATTTTCAGTACATTGATAGATTATTAACAGGAGGAAGCCTTTTGTCCATGTGTAGTTCAGATCGATGATAGATAGACTCTGTTGATTCACGATAATATTGCCCTTAGTAGTGAATTCTGAAGATACAGCTATAATACCCGAAGCTATACAACGCTCACAATATTGCCAGATACAGTATGTTTACGCTTATACAAAATATGTATTATAAGAAATGCTTTCATCTAAGTCATTGAAGTAACCTTCATCACAACCAGAAAATATGTCAAGTGATTCGTACACGTATGTACAGAACAGAGAAATAATTGTCTTGAATGTACTGTACTTATGTCCACGGATAAGTTTAGAGTTCTTTGCTATATTTCTACAATACTAGACAATATTCGAAAACAAGATTCATACATTCTAGTATAATCACACTTGTATTTGACCCATCTACAGTACTGTTAATCGGAAACAAATTTTAATCTTCACAATCGTCGATTCAATTCAACATTGAAATGAGTTTTGTAACAGTGTACGCGTGTATACGATAATGGTTGATGCATACAAGCATACAATTACTTGTGATCAGAATCAAGGCTTAACAATTTGCGAGACTTGCTACAACATTTGGATAGTAATAGCATTGTTCTATTCATCTCATCATCGTAGGATCTTTCATTTCTAGTCTAAGAATAAGTTATACAGCCTTTCAATTATAAGTTGATAAATACAGGAATAATTATCATAAACGTAAATGCAACCTTCAGTTGTAATTACCGCAAATGTCTCAACAAGTATACGCGTACTCTGAACTACACCAACTTGTATAATGAAACAAATACTGTACAGTCATTTACAAATTAGATAGCATGCAATAGAACGCTTTAAATATTCCACCGTTTCTGTTAATGTATTAAATTTATATATTATGTAAGGATGGTTACTACTGCATTTTGAAGATGATTCGGTCGGTAGTCGTTTCCGTTGAACGTTAGTGACTACATTTTAATAATGTATACTGTATAGGTTACATGAATATACGGACGGGTATGCTACTATTTGCATCTAGGTCGTTTAATTACTACCAATGTATGCTGAGTCAATCCGTGAGACTTGCTTTTGTATATACAAATAATATAATCCATAGACTTCTAAATTACGCGATCAAATACAAAGCATAGAATTGACGGACTCGAATGACCTAAATTCGATATTATGGATCTTCATATTTAGGGATTTCTTGTTCATGCTATCAAAAGTAGCCAATAGTCTTTTTTTTCCCCCTTAACTTAGTAATTAAACGTTATCTATGATTCATATCACTTTGAAGTTAGAACGTTGAAGATTTGATGTAAAATATAATAGCTTCATTGTATTCAAATTCCTACATCAATATTACGAGTCGAAACCGCCCTTTCCTCCAATAATGTAGAATATACTTCCATTTTATTGTCATAATTGTGTTCTACTCCTGACTAAAATTTAGAGATCAGTGCTAGGTCGTATGAGACATACGCATACATATATCATACACTTCCTTGATGCGTACGTTCACATATTTTTACAATCAATCACCGTCATCTCAATGTAGTAATTTCCTACGGCCTGGATGGGGACCAGTATTTTATTTATATGTGAGAATTCACTGACTGCAAGCTTCAGATATGTAGTCTATTTAGTCTTTTTGTACTCGTATGCTACTGATAACGTACACTGTTTTACACTAGTCACAAGATGAATTCTAAATTAACTACGTACAACTATTCGTTCTACATCGTATTAATTAATATCCGTTACTGAATATGTGTCTGAGCGAAACAATGGAGCTATTTCGTTTCACTATCGTTGAAATCCTAGCTTTTCATACTATTGCGTAATGTTAAATATCCGAGTTACATTGTCGGTCATGCTAAGACTGGATATGGACAAAAGAAAACTGATTATTTATTACCCATAAGATTAACGGAATTAACATTTTATTTACCAAAAATCAATTCAATCATAAATTGATACTCTGATTCCGTCAATGTATGAATCTTTTCAAAATCTACATCTGTAAAACCTCCAAACTAGATAATATATCATTTCATTTTCAAAAATTATAATAGCAGATTTCGAAATGTAGATGATAATGCATAGCATATATTACCGACAATACGGATGTTCTACATCTATAAAAATCTCCCAAACTAGACAATATACCCATTCGTTTTACAAATTGTAAAAGCGAATGCAAAATTTAGAAAATAACACTATAATGTTACTGACCACGCGAACATTAATGTCATTTCGAAATGGGTTTGTTGTATACTGACGATCGAATTAAACTTTTCTTGCTTAACTTAGGTAACCAGATTTATTGGTCTATAAGGAATGTATTTTTACTACGCTGAATAGCAAAGATAAAACAGAATCTGCTTGTAAATTTCCGATAAACTTTGAGCCTAATCGAGTAAGGATTGCCTTTTGGATAAATTTTTACTTCTCTAATTTTATATAGCTACTAGTATTTTATAATTACAATTACACACGAGAGTTTTTTAGTGAACTATTACAGGATATCACTAGATTAAAATTGTAATCGGTGCTCTAAGTTCTAAATTGCTCTTTAACTTAAACTGTAGCATCGTTATCGTTCTTTAGGTAAATAAATTATCAAAATGTCTTCAAATGGTGATGAATTGGGAAGACCTTCTCCTTCCGTTATATCGCGTTTATCCACTAGCATATCACTTGTACGATCAACGTAGCTTAACTTTATTACTATCAACCTTTATATTTGTTTAGTTATTAATTTATTGTCCATTAAATATTAAAAGTATTATCAGAACTTTCTCGATCGTGCCACCCCGTATGTTATTGCTAGATGGATTTCGACAATGGTATTATCAATTATCTATGGTCTAAGGATATATATAATCCAGGTATTATTGGATTAAAATCTTAGTTAAAGCTAGACTACAGGTTTCTTCATACACTTGCTATACTATATATTTCTCTTGCCAAATTTTCGTTGTAAAGATAATGATTTTGTACTTATGGTAAAGGTATTTAGCAAGAAAATTCATATTATCAACTTCATTTTTTATGCCAAAAATTTAGGGATTCTACATAGTAACTTATGCTCTCGCCATCTTTTTATTGAACCAATTTATTGGTTTCCTAACTCCCCAAATGGATCCTGCAATGTCTATGGAAGAAGGTTTGAATAAAACTTTTCCTTAGATAATCAACTAATATGTCTACTACACGATTGCAATTTGATCACATCACTTTACGTAAAATGACGAATTTTGATAACATGATTGACTATTACGAATAGAGGAAGATGGACCGACGTTACCTACCAGAAGAGATGAAGAATTCAAGCCGTTTATGAGAAGGCTCCCTGAATTTAAGTTTTGGTAATTAAATATTAGTCAATATGCAATTATATTGTCCTGGAAATATCTTTATCATGCAATAATCAAATTATTCGGCGCTTTCTGAAGCTTATTTTAAAATTTTTATAGGACTTCTACTACTCGAGCTATTATAATTGCAACTTTCTGCACTTTCTTCCAAGTATTTGATGTACCAGTATTTTGGCCAATATTGGTAATTTATTTTTTCTTATTGTTTTTCATGACAATGCGAAGACAAATCGAGGTTTGTACCATTTTACGCAAAGTGTGGTATAGTAGTAGTCTACATAGGACAACGGATGCATTTCTATTTATTAAATAACTAATGTAGAAATCTTACTTGTCCAATTGTAGCATATGATTAGGTACAGATATTTGCCATTTTCTCATGGAAAGAAAAAATATAAAGGGAAGGAAGACAGTGGAAAAGTTGTGGTATCTTAGTATCATTGATTTGTAGCTGATTACTAATATAAATTAAGTAATAAATTGTAACATCAATGAGTTCGGTTAGTCCCATTTTTAAAATATTAAAAACTCAACTGATAATAATAATTGCTGAAATACTGCATCTAATAGCTGTTACTGAAATCGGTTAAGAGAATTTTATTGAATTTCTCGGTATTGGTACATCGGTATGAATCAGAAAATTTTTTGTCTTTATATTATACTAATTATTGTTAGATAGCAATGCTTCGAAATCTTCGTAATATTGAGGTAGAGATATGCCGGTATGGATAATGATAATTTACAGTATTGTTCTCGGTCTACTCTTCTGTACAAATTGTTCGTGATTCACGTTATTTTAAATAAAGCCTTTCAGACTAATCAATCTTGAAGAAAACTTAATATGGTTCATCCTGAATGCTGTTATTTTTTGTTCACATTCTTTGTAACTAGTGCAACTTTAATTTTTTTGTGCTCCATTTGTTCTATTCAAGTATTAATTCATATTGAGTAGTTGCTGGAAAGTTTGACACTTCGTACAGTATATCTGTTATGAACCAATTACTGTAAGCTAGTATCATCGCATGATGGATTATAGCCAATCCACGACGAAAGTATGCTTGCTACAAGCTACAATGCAACCATCTGAATAGTGTATACTCGTATATATGTATATGTAGAGTGAATATGTATAAAATACGAATATGTAATGTACTATTACTAGATATCATATTTTCATCTATAGAAATTAATAACCATACCAATCATATGACTATTGGCGGCTGTGATAGGCATTTAATGCACATCCGTTACCAATTAAAAATACGATTCGAAAGGATTACTAGATACCTAAAACTCGTTCTTGTCAATCGAAAAATCGTTGTGATTTAGCATAGTAGAATTATGTACAGTAGAATAGCGAACACCCATTAATGAATAATATATTAATTAGTTTTTAAATTTGGTCTTTCAAGGAGAGGGAGTGTGCCACAACGTCAGTGTAGAGTGTACGAGTACACACCTTAGGGTATTCACTTGAAGCGTTAAACTGTAAATGCTTTTGTGTCATCACAATCAAGATTGAATTCCAACAGATGCATTTAATGATGAAATAACTATCTTGACAGTGATAATAATTTATTCTTGATGGATGATTCATTGATGGCTAAAGCATGACTAAAGTAGTAATTACGCTATTAACGTTTACTAGTTCGACTGATGGATAAACAGAAGGCTAAAAATAGTTATGATAGGTAAGAGGACTCAAAATTATTCACGCTACTTGTAGAAGGTGGCTACATTATAAGGTACAGATCGTCGAAATAAAATTGACTTTATTTTTTGAAGAAAAATATCTATCTTTCCCCGAGAATCGAGTCTTGTTATGAGTCAAATGACGATATCCGTAACCTTAACGGATAATAAATTAGGTTAGACTTTCAGTTTGGCTACGAGCTAATAGTTTAATCAATAGCGTAATGCTATCATAATGAGAAGTGTTGATACCAAGTGACTATGAAAGAGCTATTTTATTGAATTACGAGATATATGAGTATATATTCTTATCAATTTATCCGATTACTATTGCTGTTAAGCATACAGTAATAATGCTAGACTAACAATTGAATCCAGCTGGAGGTCCGGTCCAGGTCTAACTGATATACGTTCTGTACGAACTCGTACTGTATGCGTAAAATGAACTGTCATCTACTATGCACGCATACTATCGTCTCCAGAGATTGACAGATTCTACACAGCTGTTACAGTTTCAGACTTTGAGTGAATTGTTGCTTTATATTCATTTATTGATATTACTGGGGCAAATTACTATTACGTAACAAGTCTTTTCTTCCAACTTGAAAGATCTTTTTATGAGCAGCTACAATACAGTATATGGCAGTGAGGAAGTCCGTAACTCGCTCGTGATGCAGGAGGAAATTTATTTTACTGGAGCAAGTTAACATACTGTACGTGAGAATCTCTTCTTTTTTAAGCATAGCCGCAAAAAAGTATCGAAATTACATCAAAATAAGAACCATAATAGCAAAATCTGTATCGCATTTAGGGTTTCTCCATGACTAGCCATATTTACGTTCTAAAGCCCAATTTTGAGACAGACAGACAGACAAAGCAAGAAAAAAACCGACCCAAACTTGTTATACTTCCTCGGGCGGGTGGACCTTCATCGCCAAATGAGGCTTCTCAATATGGAAAAATGACTACTTAGTAAAAGGATCTTCCGTGTCTGTTTTTCTATATCGGTGGTACTAATTGAAATAACATTATAAAGCTAAATTAAGCCATCCGATCAAGCGAGAGCCAGTATTGCTGACTGTTTTATTTGTTTGTTCTACTGTACAGTATACGACCCATCTAGACTTATCCAGCATGGGTTACTTTCTTTTTCCATAACAATAGTGTACAGTACTGTACAGTATACAGACAGTTACAGTATTACTACCGTACGACTTACTGTACTAAGTACAGTACAGTGCGTACTGTACAGTACAGTGTACAGTATAATGTATTCTTACTATGGTGTGCAAATTGGCCTGTCACCCGCTTTCTCTCTGATATCTTCTGCTACTACATAAGAGAATGTCAATAGGGTGACAGCTCATTTTGCAACGCAGAGTACAGTATCACGTATTGGCGCACGAGTCAGCGAAGTTCAAACTCCACTTATAAAAGGTGAAAAGAAAGAAAGAGCTGCAAGCAGACTGCACATACGGCTGGACTCGAGTGGCTAAAACATTTCCTTCATTGAAATTGATCAAAATGTCCGGAGAATTTCGTATTGAAACTATCGAACCCGGCGACGGTATTGAATAAATATATGATAAATTAGTCACACTATGCCACCCTAAATATTTTGATAATCAACATCGTGTGAATTTGATATTCATCCCTTTTCTAGAAAATGGATGAGAATCTGGATAGACAGTAGTGCGCAGTTTAATTCTCTTCCAAGATTTGCATTAGAGCATGATTATGCTAGTTTACTCGTGAAATGGAAAGAATCAATCATCAGTAGAGTCATTATATTACTATTAGTGAACAGGATGAGAAGCCACTGTATTCGATAACAATTTAGATCCTTTTCATGCGATTGGTGTTCATACTCAAAAACCGTTATTTTAACGTTTTTATCCTATCCAACTGATCTATTTAGGGGTTACTTTTCCTAAGAAAGGCCAAACCGCCGTTGTTCATTACACTGGTAAGTCACTTAAAAGATTAGAATAAAATTGGTCATCATGGATAGAAGAGACCGTAAAACATGATAAAACTCTCCAACGTGAGAGCTCGACTATACAGTACTAGGAGGAAAGATCTCCTACACTTCTTGATCCGATCAATATCGAAAATGCACTGCGATAACTTACCAGTACTTCTTTAGCTTAGCCTAATTGCTCCTTACTGCTGGACACTTGCATAGTAAAATATATCATAAATCAATAGTTAGATCCATCTCAACACTTATCGATATGTAAATGAATTAATTATATTCAACAGTCATACAGAATTCTAAAATATTAGTAAATAGACTACAGGATAAAGTAGAATATGCCCATACTTGTAAATGAGAAAGATGGACAGTACTAGACTGCTGTTCGCAGAAGGACGTCAGCCTGGTCATAGCCTACAGATAGTACAGTACAGTAGTGTATTACTGTACCACACATAATTGTGGCTAGAATAAAAATACTCGAGAATTCGCAACAACAGTTCAAAATGATCGATATGCCGCATTTGATTTTCACGCATGGAAACGAACCCATAATTATTTATTTCATAATGCCGTACTTTTAATTAAATTTGCATAAATACATTATTTCACTTATTAGGTACTATACGATTACATCGGTAATCTACGCGTTCGTACTACTGTACTTTTAAACTAATTAATTATAATTAATTAGTATTCTTCAGTTATCGGCGACACCTATTATAATTATTATTATCGGTTACTGGCACAATTTTTAACTTGTCTGTAGTGGACGAAATCATTGTATCGCTCTAAGATGACAGCGGTATCTTAAATGCATGGTACGACATTTAGCTAATGCCTATCTAAAGAAACCCTCTATAGGAAAGGAATTGCTATCGCAGATTCGTTACATTTTGCTTGCACGTTTACTTACTAGTTGCTTCAGTTTAGAGAAGAATAGTTTGCATGCATTTTGTTAACTTTATTTATTACATCCTACAGTAGCTATCACTTTCCAATTCTGACAGTGTTCGAGTAGGCCTATTATGTGGAAGTTTTGCCTCATTAATAGATTCATACTGTACCTTGTTCTAAGGCAGCTTATTGTCGCCGTTTTCTTAGGTACCCTAACCAACGGGAAAAAATTTGATTCATCAAGAGATCGCAATAAGCCTTTCAAATTCCGTGTTGGCACTGGTAGTGTCATTCGAGGTATATCACACAATTGCCTATAATTATTTAGTTATAGTATAGAACATAAAATCTTAGTACAAATCCTGCTTGGAATACTACTCATTCTGTATCAGTGAGTCCTTAAGCAGCTATTGTAATCTTCTTAATGTGCTTTTATTGGATAATTAATTCCTATATCAACTTAACCAGTATAAATTTTAAATAAATAAAATACGTAGATTGATATCTGCATGAATGTTAAAACTATAGTTTGGTGCAGTAAGTTCTGCTGTTTTGCTCTGTGTTTATATACTTTTCCGTAATTAGCTCGATTAAATAGCATACGCTAGAATTTAAGGAATAGCCGTATATCACCTTTCGATTTGTAGGACATTTGTCATATACTCTTGAAGATAATAATTCTTTGGATTTAGAGTAAACTTTATTATTAAATGGATTATCTTAGTGAGTGGTTTCTTAATTTCTTTCCTTTTTGAATTTTTGATTATTGGTTATGATTACCATGATCTTTTTGTACTCCGATGTTTGGTAATATGGCATAAAATAAATGTACAACTTGTTAGGATGGGATGAAGGAGTAGCGAAGGTAAGTTATCTGCATTTCAAGCGTTTATCAATTAACGCACTATTATATCCTATAAGCCTGAATAAAGATGTAAGAATGAACCAGTTAGAATTAAGATACTGTATATTACAATCAAAATAATATCCTCCAGTTATTATCTTGGCCGTAGTGGGTTGAAGTAGGTAGATAATATTGTATACTCTATTTCTTGGCCCTCTTAAACTTTGGACCATGACGCAACTGCATTAGATGATGAAATTCTTCGATAATGTTAATGTAATTTTATTAATATTATTGATCAATAATGTTGAACGCTGTTGGATCTCTAATTTTTAATAAGGTGTGATGTGCAGTATTTATATGTAAAAATCATTTTGTCTTTAATATGCACTTTTACAGATTTTTGACTTCGGTAGATTAATTAATCTTCTATGAATCATCAGATGTTCTGTAGTTACACTCTAATAAAAATAACCAATAAACTTTTTTTTATCATACAGATGAGTGTTGGCCAACGAGCAAAACTTATTTGTCCACCTGAGTATGCGTATGGTTCTCAAGGCGTCCGCGGTGCATATCCTTTCAAATATAATTATCATACCGCCTCTATTTTCCATTCGTTACGATTTTTGCTTATACACGTCATAATGCAATTACTTTGAAATTGAGTGCAGATAAAAAATTTAAATGATTTATAGAACACGAGCATATACCCGCTCATTGGAGCGGAAAAGGCCACATGAAAGCCAATATACTGTATATAGTAGTAGTAGAAATTACCATGCATTTGTGTATATATACTCGCATTACAATTTTCTTAATATATACAGTATAGTATGATGCAAGCCTAAGCAATGATTAGATATATTACCCTTTAGATAGTGATAAAATGTACTACTAGTTACTATATGCAGAAATTCATTACTATGAAATAGAGCTTGCTAGCTACACCTTTTGTTATGGAATACTTGAATTTTAAACTAAATGTAATAATGAGAATTTATAAACGAATACGAACGATAATTTAAATTAATCGCAGGTACTCGAGCTTGTTGAGGTTACTTCAATCACTTTGCCCGATTTTAGCTTGTAACGATTTAGACAAAGATGCTTCCTTTGAAAATGAAGAGTTTAGAATCATATACTAGCCTTCTTTTTTTCTATTCTCGACGATATCTACGGTTTGTTTTCTTAGCTTGCTCACTATTCCGCCAAATGCAACTTTGAACTTCGATGTTCAACTTATTAGCTTGGAATAAGTACTATGCAGCCTTGCTACCCCCTTGTATCAAAAGTGTGGATTGGTTGAAAATTGTAGGAGTACAAGAATATTTCGGGATTTCCGAGAGCTTTAATAGATGTAACTTTTTACTGGTGCCAAGTCGTGCACCAAATGTAGTATCTTGTACTTTAGAATGTTTTACAGCTTTGGGTCAATGTTTTATTTCTTAAATTGTAACGAATTTTAGAATAGCTATCGGATCGGTAATGTTCCGGCATTCACTTTATAATTCATGTATCTCTGCACTGATGACAGTTAGCTAACCAAATGTGTCAAATCATGTAATGGTCATGATGCCACACTTGAAGTAGGTCAACAATCGCAATCTTATGAATTGCTCGCATTGATGCAAATGCGCTATTTTACAAATTATTTGCTGTTCCTTGTTTCTGCCTCTTTGTGTCTTCTGAAGCCATGGAGCATTGATTCAGTTGAATGTTTTGCCGTTGTAGATGTAGAGAATGAGTAGCGACCATTTCGAGATTTTATTTTAAGTCTTTATGTGAGCGATTACCATTCAAATTATGTTTGCATTGTATGCAAAATCTATGACACTATCGATGTTCCAATTCTAAATGTAGTGTACGCGTACGATTAAGTGTTCGTCCGCGGAATAAAAATCCTTCCGATACTAAAAATAATGTATTTATCGCTCTTTCATGATGTTTAGTCAACTCCTTATATATAATACAGTGAAGACTTGGGAATGTTATCAAGTTATGCACAACCGTAAATACCCAGATGCAGTAGAGTACGTGTATTAATATTACTTAAATTGATGTAATTGAGTAATGAATATGTTACGGCCATTCCTAAGAATGATTTTGCCCTTAAGATTGGCCGTGATCAATCTTAAGGACAAAATCATTCTTAGGAATGGCCGTAACAAATATACACTGAAGCGACCGCGGTTTTTAAACAAGATTTGTGTTTCAGTTTAATTACCTTTATAGACGAATCTATCATTATTCTTCACAAATATGGTATGCTAAGCTACGTATCAAGTTCAACACTGTGGAACGCAGTGCGATATTAGTTTTAAGAAATTTTGTAACGAAAAATATCCCGTTATGACTCGTATCCTTGTCACCTTGCATGATTTTAAATCCTATTGACTACTAGAAGCTGTTATACCCTCGAACAACATGATACTGTATTCGTATTTTAAAATAAAAAACCGACTTACAGATCTGCACGTTGTACATACAACATTCCAGTAACGTAAAGTATGATGGTGTTACTAAATTGTAGACTATTAGCGAAAAGTTTACTAATTGAACGAGAATTATAGATTATAGCCATCAGCACAGAATCCTATGACACAGAATATGCTTACAAGTATATGGATTAGTCATTACCTTACTAAACAAAGTAGATATAATTGTACACAAAGAATAATATACTGTACAACAAAAAATTTTTCAATTTGGTGCTTTATTTCACATTAATCGCTATAGCAGGCGCTATAATTTTGTCATTTAAGCATGACTCGTTATAAAATTCACTCCAATGAGTTCATACCGACTGATCTAACTTTACCAAATCAATAAATCTCATCACGATAGCGTTATATTGCATAGGACGTTAAATTAAAGTAAGTCACTAATACTAATTCTCACTTTAACTTAATAAAACGATGCTGAAGCTCGTAGATACCAACAGAGATATTCTTTTTTGAATCATAATCTGCCCAATCCTAGAATTACATATTTTGAATGGAAAAGATACAGAAAAGAGATTTGAGAATAGGAAGGCACCTAATACGTATACGTAATCTATAGCACCCGCGTATAAATTTTCTGAGCTTAAGAAAATTAAATCCATTGATACAACCACCTAACCAATTAGCAGTAGTGTATATATGTACCTCTTCCGATAAATTGATGTCCGTGAAAGCCGTGTTCGATTCGGAAGATACTGCTTGAAATCCAATCTGTCAATAAATTGGGTGACGTAATAAGATGACTATAAATTTAACTATTCCGTAGCTAACCATTCCGTTCGTATGATGGAATATTATTGCGAATCGACACTTAACCGTTATAGCTCTTACTAAAACTATTACCGGTTCACATTGAATGATTCAGCTAGGTACAGCATAATGCCAGTAAGTTACAACTCTGTGATACTGTACTAGGTTTTTATATCATATCACTATCAATTGTTATCAATTATACTATAACTATGACTAAGATAGCGAGATAGCTTTTTAGTTATCGATAACAGATACATTGCTAAGGTAATAAACAGTAGCACAGTTACGTTACCGGTAATAAAGTTAAATATATCTAGCCTACCCTTGGTGAAAAATTTGTTGGCTCTATGCCTCGGCAATCGAAAGCTACAATGGTTTTGTATTTTCTGCTTTCGCTGTCTTCGATCTAAGTAGATAAATCATTTGTTTCAAAATATACCGCTCACATCAGGTAATTGATGCAAGAATGCAGGAAAAAGCCAACACAGTCGTCATGACGTGTTATATTAATAAGTTTAAAAATTTATGAATCCTCTTACGTTATAAGGTCCTACACTTCCTTCTATGATATCTAGAATGAAAAAGTAAAACATTTACACATACAGAATCAGTGTTGCCATTTTAATTTATCTCTGACAACAATAATTTCAATTCAGTTATAGTTATCTTTACCACATTATCAGCTGGTGTTTATTGCACATCGAATATCATATGCTCCTATTTCATACCTATGGAATTTTCGCGCGAACATAACTTGCATTTAATGACTAAATTGGCACTACCGCGACCACCTTTCAACGGCGACTTATCCTAATTTATCCCAATATTTTGAAGAGTTAAATCAGGGTTAGTATGATCTAGTTAGATATTTTCTTCCATCATCAACAAAATTAGCTCCATTTCGAGATAGACATGCACGATTGCATGTGTACTGAAGATAATGGAGGCAGAGATCTATCGAAACACTCGATTTAATATGAAATTTATTGATGTTAGTAATCTGTTGGCAATTTGACGTTTTTACATAGTAAATAAATGTTATCCGTACATCACAGAAATGGTAACAAAAAAATTTTCCAACATGCAATCAATAATATGATCTAATTCAATATACTGTCAAGTGATTATGATCTTTAAAGGCTCAATGGATAAATGAAAAATCCGGATACGTTAATCAAATAAGTGCTAATTTTTTAAAGCGTAAACATATCTAAGCATCTTTACTACTATACGAGCAAACGCTAATTGGCTATTTATTTTATACAGTACATGATGTAAAGATCGTACTAGCTACTACTTATTTCACTTACATCTTGACATACATACACCCATGATGTTTCATCGCCACAATTAAGGCATTTCAGCTGTGAAGTATTACGTTGAGGAAAAGTATTATTAACGGTAAGATATCAGCTATAGAGTCAGAATAAAGCTATAGGATTAGGTTACTATTATAAAATTTATTAGAACAGAGTACTTACGTATAGAATGTACACAATATTAACTTTATTAAATTAAAAATATTGCATAATATTGCTACTACAACGAAACTCGAGCAATAGTTGTGAAACTTATTTTACGTCAAAAAATATTGAGCCCATGCTGAAATCAATAGGCTACAAGCTATTAACTTCGTAGTAGACGACGAGCTTTAATGTTGTCGTAATTAACGCAATCTAGACTAATGCGTGGATAACTTGACTGCAATAGTTACTAGAATAAATGGTTATTTAATAATATCTATACGATAATTTAACTATTTCCAAGTAATTGGACTCTTTAAATACTCCACTGTAATTACGATATAATTTTGTTATTAGGTTATAATTAGCAAGCCTAACAAATACGTGATTAATACTAATAGTATACTTTTAAATACCACCGAAAGTCTTCACCAGATGCTATCAAATTGGTTATATTCTCCAAATCAGCTTGTATTTGAAGGCCAACTTTCTATAATTTTAAATGTGGACTTTAGTGATGGAAAGCTCTAGGCATCCAAGATTGTTTATTTCCATATATCTTATATCATACTTATATATACCGTATACATTTGTATATCAGCACTAGTTATTGTATCATTATAATTATTAGGATTGGTATATATTACAGTAGTACAATACAACAGAAGATACGAGTGTACTACATGGTACTCCATAAGCATAATATTATGCAGTTTCCTTCGGTGATATTTATAGGTAAAAAACATTCATGATCCTGCTTTGGTTAGAAGTACCTGTAACCTTTGTATTATACCATGTTTAATTTATATAGCTGATGCATAATTTTAGAGATAAATGGATTACTATCTATCTTGGTGGTATTAATGAACAGTAGTCTTTCTAATTTACCAGTAAATAAAGAGTATGACAAAATTATTATCACCCATGATGATGCGATTGTTGATTCATGATTTGCACTAGTAACATTACACGAGAACATACCAATAAAATAAGTATCTTAGCTCAATATGCCAAGTAATCAAAAGTGGTTACGGAATACCAATATTGATAATTCGTTCAAGATTGGAGAATTTCAAGACCTGTACTGTATGTGTAATTTATCCTAAAATTATCTATTTTATTGACTTTACTGGTGATACCGGTTCATTGCAATTTCGATACTGGGAAATAAGAAATAGCAATGCTAGAATACGTACTATAGATTGCCTTCAATCAACTTGTTTCTAGTTTTGACAACGTAAGCAAAAGCAACTTTGTCCAGAGTTATGCTCTCTACAGCACAAAATTAATTTACTGCAATGAAACTACATCTCATCTAATTACCATAGCTGTTGCGTAAAAATACAGTAGGTGCATGCATACGTATTCTACTCACTATACGAGTACAGTAGGACAGTCAGGAAGATACTCGTATGATAGGCGTTAAAGTTATATTGTAATCGTCCAATTAGAACGTTAAGAGCAAATCTGCAACACTAACTACAACTCTACCTAGCTGTCCGAATAATAAATTATAGAACATGCAGCCAAGAATAAGTCTCTCACCAACTTGGCTAGCGTAGAGTGTAGCGCGAGTATTTAACTAAGTTAGTTACAGGAACTTGTGTAAGAATTCATTGCTTAGTCATGGGTTAGCAGAGCTCAATATCCATGTCGCCTATAGCTAGTAAAACTGATTGTCAACATTGTTCCATAGTATGGACTGTTTATAATAGAGGACTGTGCCATCTCGTTAACTCCATTATATCAGTCAAGTATTTTAGACAATTGTCATCCATTGCTTATTTTTACGGACGATCAAATTTGTACGCGTTTTTTTGTACTCCGTATTCTCTTACAAGATCGGTTTGCCTAGACTTACCACCATTTTGAACAGGCTTTGGAAAGTTGGCCACAACTGAGATCAAGGCTCAAATCTCACCCGCCGCTATACAGTATACACTGTATACAGTACTTACACTACAGAAGGACGGATGGAAGAGGACAACACTGAGTTCAGTACAGACGTCAGTCCTAAATACAGTACTACTGACTACTGAGTGCTGTACTAACAGGGAAAGAATCAGTGTACTGTACAGTACAGTACTGTACACTGTAGAAATGATGTTACAGTATCGAAAAGGCAAAACCGTACATTACCGTACTGAGTACTGTATTCCCTTTGTGATACTGGTATGTACTGTACAATGTACTGTACATACGGTACAGTACTGTACAGTACAGTACTGTAGCAGAAATTGAAAGTAGCGCCATACAGTACAGTTGCTGTACAGTACTGTACAGCAACTACTGTAACTTCCATTTAGGCTATGGGTTACGATTCTGTATCAGCTATATCGACATTTTTTTTCTACTGTATACTAAAATATATCAATTATTCTTTATACTAAATCCTATTAATATAAAATCTGTACAGTACTGTAGCAGAAAATGAAAGCAGCGTATATTGTAGGCTACGTACAGTACAGTACTGTATAGATGATGTACGGTACACTGTACAGTACTGAACTGTACTGCAGTACTGTACAGTACACTACTGTACACAGTCTACAGTGTACAGTACGGTGTACACAATCTCACCCGCCGTTGTACTGTACTCTACAGAAAAGACAGAAGGACAGTACTACAGTGCTGTACGCTACAGTATACTGTAGATGGTATACTGTACACTGTACAGTACACAATCTCACCCGCTGTTGTACAGTACAGTACTGTACTGTTACACTGTACTGTACAGTACTCTACAGAAAAGACAGAAGGACAATACAGTACTACAGTAGTTACGCTACAGTGTAGGTGATATGCACTGTCAGCTGTACAGTACTTTACACCGTACAGTACTATGTGATTATTTTCGATGTCTCCTCTTCGTTAAAAAATTAAAGTTGTATTCCGTTGAAATTCCTGTATAGTATTTATATATACCCATAGAATTATTAGGCTACAACCAAATATAGAATTTATCTAGTTTGGGCTTGATTTAGCTTATACAATTATATGTTTTCGGGGTGCCATCGAAAATAATCACACTTGTACAGTACACAGTCTACAGTGTACAGTACAGTGTACACAATGATTGTCAAGTCATAGTGAAGACATCAACACGGCAATCTAAATTAAAAGGAGGCTGAGCAAATTGGCATCGCTAAAAAGTAGAAGAACAGCCCTATCCAAGCCAATATAAGTTCACTGTCCAATTGATCTATTCAACCTAACTGTAGATTCCTTGTATTAATATACTGACATTCATTCAAGAAGATTTAGCTGCTAGCACTTGCTGTTAAAGGCAACTTTAGACATCGATCAATATCACAAAGAGTAACATACAATTTATCCATCCTATTGCAGATTGATTTGCTTGATTTTTTTTGAATACACCGGATAGGCAAAATTATTCATTGGGTCAAGATGTCCAATACTATGGAAAAGAGATTACAAAAAGAATTGATGAAATTAGTCTCAGAGCCACCTGCCGGGGTTACATTCGATAGCGAGTCTGCTGATTCAAAATTAACGCTGTAAGTACACGGTCGATAATATATAAAGCAATTGTTATTGACCATCGCTATCGTAACTCTGATAAAGAGTAAATTACAGTCGATAGGGATCAAAGCGATCGTGGAGAAAGACAACATTATTATATACTTCACCATCGGTTGCTGTGTGTCAATTTTGTTTCAAATATGTTCTAGATTACTCTTTTCCCTAGTACTTACTTCTAGTACTTTATTGCATTGATATATTTATACTGTTAGGACACAAACTTACCTCATAGAATGCGTCCTGTCGTCATTGATAAACTGTCAATAGCTTTTATTGCTCGTATCGTTAAATTATTAATTGTTTTACTTTGCCTGTCTTGTTTTATACTTGTACTGTTTACACTAAATAGTATATTTTATATACAGTACTTGCAAAGCACAAGTTTATACAAAACAGATCTCATGTCTTTGAACGTGAAGATATTCGGTCAACAGATCTACCATATACTGTACACAGTAGAAAGTACGATAATAATGCCTTGCAACTCCGTCAGTGTTATAATTGCATAATTGGTCCAAATTGAATAGTACAGTACAGTACATTGGTAAAAGATACAAATCTTGATCAAGAATTAGGAATTCTGTATACTGTATCATATTATAGAACATAAAAACTAAAGTTAATCTTACGTATCATCCCTTTTATCAGGTAGTAAAACTACAGTATAATAATAAAAATAATAATACGACTATGCCGACGATATTGCACCAGTTTACATTTACTGTAGTTACCAGGTGGTAATTACTACAGCACTATTACGACATGATATTGATAAGATGTAGCATACGTAGTTTCACTGTTATTTTTTCTAAGGTTCGTTGTAGTCAATTGCTAAATATGCTTCAGAAGTTTGATATTAGGCAATATTTCCTGAAGATTTTAGCCTCAGAGCAATCTCTAAGAGTAGACGTTTGCTGTACCTGTAGGCTATAGTGCAGTGCAGTACACGTATGCAAACACCAGACAATTATTATGATGCGTAGTCAATGCATTCAATTACATACTATTCTGTACTCTCTACAATAACGTTATGCCAAATCATAACTATCAATTTAAAGGCCACGTGTTATTCGATAATACTAATCGATGTTAAGCCTAAATGGGACCATACATTGATCAATCTTCACTTATTTCATTCCCAACGTATCAGTACAAAACCTTTGCATAGAATGATGCTAGTGGACAGCTAAAAGTAAATATCGAATAACAAGATAACAGTGACAGATTGAATAGACAGTAAGAAAAGCACTTATAATCATCATTCCATTTCACCTAGTACTCTATAATTGCGTAAATGCTTCAAGCCTCAGTGATTACGTAAATTTTTATCACTATCCATCTGCTTCATCCAGTACAATATATGCCTACACAAACTCTTGAAAAGAGTGATACCAACAGAGATAAAATAAACATAAAATATGGCAATACGAGTAAATCGTGCGCTACGTCTGACCAAATGAGTATATCTTATAATCTCATATCCTTGTAGGTATCGTATTATAATCTTGCTGAATTCTATTTTATGTCAATTTTGGGGGGAATTTGTTTAATTCATGACTATTTGCTAATTGTAGATGGAAGGTGAAAGTTGTTGGAGCCAAAGGTAATTCATATTCAAGCTACTGTATTATCAAACTTTAATCGACGCTGCTGCTTTCAAGTATTATTGTGACGCCTGCTTTCTGTACTTATACGTAATTAGATACGTTATACGATGGTGAATCGTTTATACTGCAATTTAAATTTACCCCAAAATACCCCTTTGAATCTCCTCAGGTAATACTATATAAGTTATAACTACTACGTTTGTCATGCATTTATTGTTTATGCATACCGTAGATTGCAATTTCTGCATAGAAATATAAATATAATGTAATCCATACTGACATAACACTGAAATGCTACGCTACCGTCCTATTACTTACAGTTAAATATGCCTATCTTAGAAGAGTTAAATATAGAATCAATTCTTCTACATCCTTATTGTCACTTAATGATGTGGGATAATAAAATATGTTACAGCGATCTCCATAATTACATTCACTTTCCTCCAGGTTATATTTATTGGACCAAATATACCAGTCCATCCTCATATTTACAGCAATGGCCATATATGTTTATCTATTTTAACCGATGATTGGTCCCCAGCATTGTCTGTTCAAGCCGTTTGCTTAAGCATTGTCAGTATGCTTAGCAGTTGTAAAAAGAAGGTTGGTATTTTCAATGACTATAATTGAAGTGAATATTAATTGCACTACGTCACGGTAAAGTAAAAGTGTCCATACTACCATTAAATTATAATGTTATTGTTTTCTTAATATACAAAAATTTTATAGGTAAGACCGCCCGACAATGTTGTATATGTGAGCACTTGTTCAAAGAATCCTAAGAAAACAAATTGGTATTATCATGGTTGGTAGCATATATATAACTATTTTTTGTCTTATTCTAGTCCATAGTACTAATGCAAAGAAGCCTTTAGTATATTCTAATCATCTTCTCTTATCTTCTTATTAGATGATAAAGTCTAAAGGAAGCTTTTATGAAATGTACTGCGAAAAGCATGATATTCTAATTCTGTGTCATATTGCAAGGGAACTTTAGCTGAAATATCAATTAGATATAGTCCTTGCTTGACATAGAAGTACCAATATTCATACAATTATTTTTATGAATAGTTCTAAAAGGTTCCGTTTATAAAGTATTCAATTCTTAGTTATACTTCAACGATGTTAATTAATTTTTAAGTGAAAGAAATGACATCAAATACGTATACTTATCTCAGAAATCTTGTACAGTTAATGATACCTTTCATTCTATAACACCTATTGCTTAATCTAGTAGTAACACCTTTATCGATAACATCACCTGTTAGTCATCGTCTACAGAAAATACTCATCATTAACTTTCAGTTAGATGTTCATATCTCGAAAATTTCCAAACAGCTTGTATTAATGGCGCGTCTGTGCTTTATGCAATTTATAAATGAACAGATTCAATAGAATAAAACTGCCTGACTTACTATATTACGTACATGACAATATACATCCTATTTTTTCCTTGTTAGGTATCATTATCAAATGCATAACCCTTATTGTTACACGCGTTACTTCTTTAACTAACAGATGACAGTCAATCATAGCAATTTTTCATTATAGTTGCTATTCTTTTTCGCGAAGAGTATTACCGAAATGATGAAATAATGCTTATTACTAAGATTTCATTCGTGTAATACTGCTTCCTTAGGCAACAAGCAAAGTCTATGCACTGTAAGTTATAATTTCATGTATGCAACATGTATTCGTATAAATGCTAGATTAAACTTATTACCTATATTAAATTATCCAATATTTTTGGATTAACTACTTATATTAACTATCCTACCTGGCAAATAATATGAAATCGCTGGAGCTATTACGTGCCCTGTAAAAAAGGGTTATAAAACTTATAAAAGATAGTATATTCATTTACTGCAATGACATGCCTATACATATAAGTTAAAATTAATTATCGATTATGCTGTTACAGCACATTAAAAGAAATGCCAATTTTCGTTTAAAATCAATGCCCTACGCCAGTTATTTGCTACAAAAACATGACATATACCGCAATGTTATAAGATCCAGCCAGCACTAGAGTTCTCTATTAATTCCTTATAACTAGTTATATTAGTACCGTACCAGCAAATGAAAAGATTAATTGAATGCATGAACGCTTAATTGGGATAAGCCATTATGTTATAGCTGACAAACATCGGATCATCAGAATCTTACAGATTGGATAAATACTGTAAATTTTTCAGTTATTTGTCTTATCTATAATCACCGTTAAATCCAGCTAATTACAATAAATTTTAGGCACTCTATACTGATTGATATATCAAGATTATAAATTAAATTCTTTCAGTTAGTTGCATGCAGTATCTAGTCTATTAAGCACTAGCTAGCGGCAGCTATTACATTAGACCATGTTATAAAAGTGAATATTCAGACAATATGCCCACTCAATAGGTAAATTTCTTATCAGGACTTCAAATGGAAATTTTTTAATAACAACGATAAAATTCTTGTTATCAACCATAAAAAGAATAACCAAACAGATAATTTACTAACACGCTCGCTTATGTATCTAAGCCAGTAGATGTACCTACTTAATTGAAGTGTAACATATTACTATACCATATCGTTATATTACTGTGAATTATATCTCAAGAATGGCAAGTACACTAAAATCGAAGTATATAATCAATATTTAATGGGAATTAAATAAGCACTTTCCGTTATAAATTATTACTTATGTATCATTTACAGTCATTTTGCTATTAAAATTTTCAGCTTACGTGTACAGTAGAAAAATTTTCAACGGTAAAACTTATTCAATTTTATCAGCTCGAAGTGAAACCGTTATTATATTGCAAACATATCGAATTGCTATCTCAAACCTAGTCTTATAACTAGAGAAAAATACAAAAAGTTAAAAGTAGAATTGTAGAAAATAATTCTAATACCGATTTCTCAAAGGCAAACAGTTGATCAATAGACTCACTTTTTAGACTAATACGTTGTAAATCTTATTTTTAGTAACGATACAATATTATAGGCACTGTTATTAGTGCTTTCTATTACTCAGTTAGTATTATAATTATAATAAATTAATAATATTATTAAACATGAATACATTTAATTTACGAAATCCTAGAGTTGCCAAAATCAGGTCATAAATCCTATAAATCAGATGTGATCAAAGAATTAAGCAAGCATTTAAATCTGTAACTATAGATTATTGTTAGTTGCATGACGCGAAGCATCTGCTCTTTCTCGTTCCTGTTTCTGCTCAGTATTTCGGTAAAATCGATGCATACAATATCATAATGGCTGATTTTTGAAGCATGTACTAGTAATGTAGTCATAACAGACTATCATTTACTGAATCGTATACGTTAACGATCAAGTCTAAGATTACATTCTTCAAGGAAATGACATCTATAGCACAAAAAAATTATGACAGTAAGATGGTTATTCATGTTCTGCTACGTGTATTTTAAAAGATAAAGCAAGTTAGACCTATACAATAGTTTCTGGAACTTTCTGATCTTTGTTATTGATTTCAGCATGACCATCTGTAGTAGTATCATGTTCAAGTTGTTCCATAAGTTTAAACCGTATTTGATCGACATCATTATCATGATCAGTTATTTCTGCATTACCCTCATCCAATTCCGATATCGGACCAGTTTCTTCTTCTAATTGATATATTTGAGCACCAGCAGATTTATCTTCGTACGAATCATATCCATTATTCTTATTAAGTGTATAAAAGGATTTATCATCGCCATTAAATGTTTCTTCATCAGAAGAGTCAGAAAACTGTTCACTCTCTTTCCTTTCCGGATCTTTCCTTTTAAACCAGAATGGCGTGGAGAAAAATTTCATTTCTTTTTTACGCTGTGTATATATCTCATTGAAGTTATTAAATATAATTGGTATTGGCAATGCCACTATTAAAACACCAGTAATACAACATAGGATGCCGATAATTTGTCCAGGTATCGTGGTAGGATGCGTGTCGCCATAGCCAACAGTGGTCATGGTTATATATCCCCACCAAAAAGTTCCCGGAATACTTTTAAATTGAGTACCATTAACATCCCTCTCGGCATAATAAACAAATCCAGAGAATATGGTAACGCCAATAGTTAGAAATAAATTTAATAAAAATAATTCTCGCCAACTTTTTTTCAAAGTCAATCCTAGAATCTGTAAACCTGATGAATGACGTGCCAATTTTAACACTCGTAAAACTCGTAGCATACGTATTAATAATAATGATTTAGCAATACCCTCGATACCCTTAAAGTCCTCAGTACTATTAACATCAGTCTGCCTTCGTTCTATATTAATAGCGATTAAGTTAATATAAAATGGCAATATTGCTATTAAATCGATTATATTTAACAGTCCTTTTAAAAATTGCCATTTATTCGGTGAGGATAAAAATCGAACAACATATTCGAATGTAAACCATACGATGCAAATCACTTCAATGACTTCAATCGCTGAATTGTTCATGAAGTCGCTAATGGTGCTGATGCACATGACCACGGTAGAAAGAATGATAAAAGTAACGGAAACAATTGCCATAATCTATAAATCAGAAAAGAAATAAGCGATTGAGAATTACTCATTCAATCTGGATGTTAGTTATTTTAACGAATGATTACAATTCAACTCGATCTCAATATAGTTCTCTAGCATCATATAGTTTGCTAGCACACATAAAGATGAGAGGGAAAGCATAGAATAATAAGTTTGAGTACATTTCATTTTGAAAATTTTACTTGCATAGAATTAAACTTATGGATAGTGTGTAGAAACAGACTGCACATTGATGTAAGCTAATAGAGTCATGGCAATTTAAAAATCTACGTATCCTTTTTGCAGCTTTGTACTCACGTAAACTTGAATTTGTAGATACATAAAACTGTTCACCACTCTCTACTAATGATTTAGAATTAGTTTTCAGATAGATTACTGCAGCATACCGTGATACAAGTCAATTTAATATAATAACATATAAATTTATTCGAAATTTACACCACCATGTCGGACAGCACGTAGAATTAAGTATTGTCGACATAAGCTAATTCAATATTGGAATAGACTAAAAAAATAACTATATCCTGATTTTGTAACTAATTCGATCAGGAAGATTAGATAAGGTAACAATAATTAATTGATTCTATTCACTTTTTGCAAAAAAAATATTAATGTTTTTAAAAATCATAATTATATCATAGTAACACGCGATTAAAGAAAATAATAAAAAAATAATTCATCATAACATTAATATATCTTTGTGATATACAAATTATTCACTGAGCAGTTATAAGATAAGTTTACTTAGTCAATTTTATTGACATCAAAGTATTGAAACTATAATCTATTACTAGAAAGGCAAAAAATGGAGCACAGAAGATCGTAGCGTAAATGTTAAAAAATTACTTGAAATAACAATACCCGCATACACTAATACTGCTTTAAAGTTTAGGCTGTAACTTTTTACGTTTTACTACATTTTGTCATTGCGTGTTAACAAACTCTGTCCATTAAGCTAAGGAAATTACTCCAACTGATGCGTATCAGAAGCAACAGTCAAATAACTATCACATCCGATATCTAATATTGAAACACCTTAGCGATATTGTTGACAACGAAATTTAAGACTATCGTCTGAATAGCTAATTGTGGACAGAAGATATTTATTGTCAATTGCACATTTGTGCAGTAGTTAATGTCACATATGCAATTAGATAATATCGACAATTCTGCAAATGATAAAAATTTATATATCAATTTTAATAGCTGCAATGCAAAGTCAAATTATTGGCGATTCTATAAGAATAACCGTGAAATAGGTGTCTGTTATGGTAGTTTTAAATTTTATACGCAATTTTAAAGTGCCTGAGCGTAATTATTCTAAAAATGTATAGTAAAGTAGAAAAAGTGGCAGTAATTATCTCGTCTTTCTTACTAACACAATTGTCACAGTGTTCGAATTTATCAGAATAATGGCAATAAAATACTATTTTGTACTGTACTCCATACAACAAAGTACAGTAGGGCTGCTTCACGTTATACCTTACTGTGTTCTAGTAAATAGGTCTCACTAATCACGCATTATTATAAAGATCGTCATGGATGAAGCAGCCAAATAAAGAATTATTCATACAATCATAATATGTATGCTTCAGGTCTCTAGTAGAAGCAAGATATATATTTGCATAGCCTATCTATGATATAAATAATCTATATCGAATTCAATTCAATTTATCGCTACGGTACTCGTTATTTTCAATTATATCGGATAATCAAGCTTTGGATACTAATCCATGATTAAATAATTTCTTATTAGTATCAGTACAGTATCAAGATATTACAAGTATTAGTAATTAGTTTTACTTCTAAAATACAAATCACACTAGAAGTATTTGGACTTCGATATCAGTACATCTTCTGAATAATAATGTATAGCGAGTAAGATAAGCAACGCAAGCTTATACAAATTGAATTATAACCGCTTACTTTAATTTTCATACGGAATCTTAATCATTAATAATGACATTATCAACTGTGGGTGCAGAAAAGCTTTTTAAAATTAATCAGTTTTGGAACGTCTCTATAGTGCTAGTTAAGTGCAGAAAAATAGATCAAATATGGCAAATTGATGGTTTTCTGAAAATACCTCTTGGACTAGTTGATAGCCAAATGTGTATATTTAATAAATCATATTCGAAGGCTTGTAGCAATTAAATTTAATGGATGTACGTGCAGACTACATACTGAATTTTTGCGCTATTAACAGCACAAACTACTATGTAGCGTCTGATATGACTTGATAATTACTGGAGGGTCCTGGTTACTAAAAACTTGCCAACTATCATTAAACCTTTTACACGTATATCAAAGCTGCAGTAAAACATGATTCAGTGTCTGCTAATAGTTGTGTTAATAAATCAAAGAAGAGAAAATTAATAATTAGGTGAAGTCACTTGATTTATCGACTTAAATTATATATTTTGATTTTTTTCAATTTTATGATAAGATTGAAAAAAGTGCAAGAAAACCTTAAAATTATACTTGAAGGTTGGCACTTTTTATGATCACATAGTATGGTAGAGCTTAAGATAAACTAGTATATTAAAATTGAAGCTAAATCAGGTATAAAAGATGTTTGTATACATCTCTGTAGTCAAGCATTCAGTCCTTTTTATATAATCAAATTTTACATCCTAGTTAAATTTTTTAGGAATATTTACATGCCAGATTGTTAAAAGTATTGTAATGGCCAGGCTAAATAAAACAAATCTATCACAACTAATCGGTATTATTTTCTTAATGTTCATTTAATTTTGTTTCGATCGTTATAGAAATTGATGAAATTTTATAGAATGCAGAAAAATCAATAAAGCACCTCTCAGTTTTGACAATAGAGCAAGGGCATCTATTCATTTTTTGAAAATAAGTATTCTATTAAACAAATTACACAAGTCATGCCATTTATAACTGCATTTATAGTATTGATGAGTGAATAAAAGATTAGTTTTTTCAAGTAAATATTCAAAAATGAAGATTTTAAAAGTCAAGCTTGAAATAAGATTTAGTACAGGACAATAAGTTAGAACTTCGCGAGTGATAATAAAATAAAAATATTGGTGGCAATTTCATTGCACTTACTCTTGCCATAGTTGAGGAATTCGGTTTTTCAAACAGAGTCCATATTTTGTTTTGATATCTTTTAAACCGATTTTTGATCTTATCCTGGCTATGATTACTTTCCGCCTCAACATCCTCTTTTACTTCAAATCCTATCGTTAAAGACATTTTTTTCATTTTTTCATTATCCATCATTTCAGTAATCATAATACTTTCTTCTTTTTCTTGCTGATAGCGATCACGACAACATGGTTCTAATTCCCATTCATCTATTTTCCAATAATTTAACTCCTCTTCTAATATTGCTGAACATCTTTCAGCTGGTAAATGTAATTTTCCTGTCCTATAATAATCGAGTATACAGGAAAATGTATTTGGATTACGATCAAAATAGAACTCTCCTTTGACCAAATCGTAATCATCGCATAATTCGGCAATTTCATCATGAGATTTCGCTTTCATCAAATAGAATAATCGAGATGATGGAAATTTACGAATTGTTTTTCTTAATACTTCGTGCTCAATGCCACCAACGTTAACATGAATACGTCGACGTTTTACTGTACCAGGAAAACTCGCGGTTGTTGTAAAGGGTATGTCTATTTGTCCAATGGGATCACTTTCGATACGAAGTGGACGTTTATTATATCGTATCATTTTTTTGTTGATATTACTTTTGATTTCATTTCTTAAAATATTACTAGGTAATGAATATTCCAATTTTCGGCTACGATTTCGATCTCTTAAGTCATTTTGTTGACTTGAGGTATTAGCACTGCGTGTGTACATCTTGAAAGTAGAACTTTTTATTGTCTGGTTGGAGAATCTTTGCTGTGTAATGCAAAAAAATGAATAATAACTTTTACTATGCGTATATAGAACTCCCTAAATTACAGATCTTTTACCATTCAAATATTGAAGGTAATAAAAGCAGTATTAAAGAAAAATTTCCTTATTCCATTCAATTCTATTTGTGCAGGAAATGTTTAATACTAATTTATAGCATGAGGACATTATAAGTAACTATCATCATTGCCATGGATCAAAGTAAATTGATGCGATGATAGTAATTTGTAAACTGTATTTTTCAAAATCAGTAAAGTGTGCTCTAGAGAAAATTGGCTATACCAGTAAATTGGATCACGCATCAAAGCTATAAAAGAAATTGTTACACTTCAATAAAAATTTTCATTTCTGCTTCAGTATTTCCTATCGAAGTATAACGGCATCGCGGAAACTGTCGTCTTGATTTATCTTAATCTATCTACTCCACACCGTGTGAACTAGGGTACAGTACATTAATCAACGAGAAAATGATTAAGGGGATAATTATAGCAAACATGAAAATAAGATTTATTATACATTCTGACTTACGATAATTAAAAATCTTCTTCTAGATGTTCAACAATTCTCCAGGATAGATATAACTTCAAAATCGATTAATACCGTGTTGCAGAAAGTGATATTTGATACGGGTAGTTATTGTAATCATCGATAGTAATACTTATTAACGGTCACTAATCGACCGTGCTATTACAAATGGAAAAGTAAGCTAACAACATCATCAACAAGACTGGATGATTTCCAAAAAAGAAAGTCGTTTATAGGATGGAAATAACGGTCTATAAACAATGCGTTAAAGAACAGGTGTATTGTCTAGACTGATTACACTACTGTTGCTTTCTACCCGTTACGCAGTAATTTCTTTCTTTTATGATATCAATGGAAAATAAAAGCGAAGAATAAGTCTATGACAACGTCAGCAAAAAGCTTTATAGAAGCAGTTGAGTATTGACTAAATCTCTAGATTTCCTATTCATGGTTCTATAGAGAGAGAGCATAGAAGACTACTTGAACAAGGGCCAATTCACTTGGAGTTGTATGTGTGTTTACGTTAGACTTTGATATCTATTAGTTTGTAGAGAAGCAACCAAGTAACGCATTCCAATAACTATATTAAATATCAAAAAATGATCTAATTTTTGAATCGATCAGCATGAAAATAACTCTGTTGTTAGTTTAGCTACATGTATCAATATATTATTTTCCTCATACTCTCCATATCTCTCTTCTCAAGGATAGTCCTTCAGTTAAAGTGATCATCTTAGCTTTTGTATGTTCGTTCCCTAAAATGATGATTTAATGTATAGCCAGACTGAAATTGTAAGCATGTAAGTAGCTAGTAAACACGCATATCATTGGTACGCGAGGACATTGAACTCAAGAGCACTAGCTGCGCTTATAATCACGATATTCCGATATTCAGTTGATCTCTTTCCTATGATTCTGGATGCTGACCTAGCGTCATCTCAAAATTTGCAAACTGCCGTTTAGTCTGGCATCAGGCCATTTGCTGGTAAACCAATCTACTAGGTATCAAGTATTCCTTACTCAAATTTGAGCAGTAAAACAATATTACATGTACAAGTAGGCTAAAACTTATAATATTATATCGATAGTTGAGCTTTCAGATCATCAGAAGTCACGAATATCCAGAGATTTTAAGCATTTCTCGTTGACCAACGGCTAAACAATAACATGAGAAACTTTGCTAACTGTAAGCATTTTCAAATTACAAATTGTCATTATAGCATTTTGTGATGTACAGTATTTGTATACATCATTTTAATTTCAGTTATATCAGGGAGAAATTATATCTGGATCTATCTGGAAATAATCATAATAAATCTAGTACCAGTAAGTCTATATATAGCAAGAAAAATGTTTGAACAATAACTCCATTATACACGCTCGTATAGTACTGTATGAATATTGTAATCGACAACGGCATCTGTATTCTACCTATTCTCGCATGCTATGATATCGGTTTCGTTTTGAAATATTGTGTCACACATTGACTTGTAATGATTTCCTGTCTGTTGAAAGTAGTTTACTGTGCTGTATTTATAGCCCTGCCACTTTAAGAAGAATTCATTCATAATTATAATAATTAATAATCATCATCCTATCTATCTTTTAAAATAGCGAGTGTTGATACTATGGATCGTACTAAAATACAGTACAGGACTGCTTGTCGCGGTCCGTAAATTACGAGACTAGACAAGCAAAATACAATTATACGTATTGTAGTGTACAGTAATAGTTCGGTCGGCGAAGGGTAGGACGTTTTAGCTAGTAATCATAATAATAGCTAGCTATAGCTACTACTCACAGAATTTTATTGTAGTATATAGTATGTAGATCGTTATTGCGAATGTATCCATTTTGCTGTATCCATTAGCACTAAAACGCTATCCTGTACAGTATTACTGTTGTAGTATATAGTATGTAAATCGTTATGGCGAAGGTATCCATTTTACTGTATCCATTAGCACTAAAACGCTATCCTGTACAATAGTATGGTGAATCATATTACTCGTGAATTGTACACTATGGCATAAGAAAACATGCAACTAAAAAGTACGTCATATTTGTCAATATCATGGACTACTAGAAGGAGACCTTCCAGTAGTCCATGGTAAATACCCGCAAGAAATGGCAATAAAGAAAATCCACTACCACTGTCTTCCACACAGTACAGTACTGTACACTGTACTGTACAGTATTTCAACTTAGCTCGGGGTACTGTACTGTACTGTACAGTACAGTGTACAGTACAAGTACCGTAGGATATTTCTGGAAGTTCATAGTGCAGTACTGTACAGTAGTGTACAGTACTGTATGGTTTCGTGGACGTGATAATGTTGCATAACTTCATCACAAATAAAGGAAAGATTGATTTTACTGGAATCGGACAGTGATCGGACAGATTCAATGCAATCGGACAGTCTACCGTATGGTTTCGATTGACGTGATAATACGTACAGTATGGCATCAACTTGTGCAGCTTTTGTTTTGTTTCCATTACAGTACTGTACACTGTGTTTTACAGTACAATATACAGTAGTATATGTACTGTACGCTGATCAGAGTGACGGATGGGTGGATAGTCTATCGTATGGTTTCGAATCTTTCGATTGACGTGATAATACAGTATGGCATCAACTTGTGCAGTAATGTGCAGCTTTTGTTTATACACTGTAAATTACAGTACAATGTACAGTACTTTATGTACTGTACACTGATCAGAATGTGACGTACAGTATTACACAGTCTACCGTATGGTTTCGATTGACGTGATAATATGGCATCAACTTAGACCTGGCATCAACTTGTGCAGCTTTTGTTTCCATTACAGTACTGTACCGTACAGTGTACAGTACAGTGCTGTACAGTGTACAGTACAGTGTTGTACAGTGTACTGTCACTGTGGTCGAAGTCTGAGAAATCTGGTGATGAGACACTGACGTTATCCTCCAGTCAAAAATTATTTATTCCCTAGCTGCAAATCCCAAAGCCATCAACTGATCAACTCGTTCAAAGTTATTATTTCAGTCATTCAACATTACATCAGCGAGAGCGAACAAGTTTGGAACAATACTTTGGTCGAAATAATGCTATCCATGATAAGACTGCGTCGTCGTATGTTGCCTTATTACAGTGGTGTAATAATTCATTAATGACAGCAATCATTGAGACGAGAGTTCAGAGCAAAATCAACAGAGGGAAAAATAGGTTACAATTTTACAGCTAATATTGCCCAATTTTACATTAAACCAAGAAATCAATTGGCAAGCATTCATTTCTATCTTGGTCAATACTTTATACTTGGTATTGAGTAGTTGGACGACAACTTTTTCTTGTATTTCACAGTCAGAAAAAAGATAACATGATACCAATGATATCAACATTGAAATCCTATCGTATTGTAATTACCTGCCACTATTCGATAGGCAGCATTTTCATCCATTAATTAATACCATAAAGCGGTCATTTGCTCTTTAATTTCCCAACATTTTTCTTGTGTTAATCATCGTTCTTTACCTGAAAAAAAGATCGACATTTCATCTTGGTTCGATTGCAACATTGTTATTGTGCTCACGGTACGAAGTGACGCTGGATCTTATTCAGTAGTCCAATATTATCGTTCAACTACTGATTCGATTTATAATCACTCGTTAACCTATCAGCATTGAATTGAATCTATCTTGCAAATCATTTGCACTAACGCAATCAAATATGCACTTGATCTAATCGGCTATTGCGATTCTATTGAACTCAATTCTATCTGAAAATGCAGTGATACAATCAAAATTGATCCCTTTCAACTCAGTTGTGTAGTTCAGAAGAAAAAGTAACGTTAACCATTCATACTCGTATTCGTACCAGTGAAACAAATTGCACTCTTTCAATTCATCTTTCTTAATTAATCTTGTCCAGCGCATTTTATTTCCACTTTTGCTGCTGTTAACTGCCATAAATACTCATACTTATTATTTTTCTCAAAGCTGTACCCTTTACTTAAGCAAAACTATCAGAAAACCATTCATTGGCAAATAGCATACTACGGTATTGCAATTAACTCGATCTAACCATATTTACAAGCATTGCTGTAAAGGCGAAGCCAACCTACTTTCCGTACCGATAGCTCAGCATTCAACACACTATCATGACATCAAGACATCAAGCTGCACTTTCTTTCTTGCACAATATCTCACTGGATGGCACTCGTAATGAATTTGATACACCAATCGTCGATGATGATGATAACCAAAACGATCAAGATAATTCTTATGTTGACTCTGTTCAACCGAGTCACGAACTAACTACCAAGATTGAGCAAGTTAATCAACAATCAGACGAAAGACAGATAAAACAGACCATGGATCAGAGTAAATTAAAGGACAAGCATCAATTGCGCCTAAGTTATCTAAACCCTATCGCTCTAAGCACTACAAAATGCCTACCGTATGCTGTATTCTCTGTCATTCCATATTCTAAAGATAATGCATTGTACGCTATTTCTCATACTCTATTTTTTAGATATCAAAATGTTTGTCTTACACACTATAGACTATCTCAATATACTCGTATAGTAGAGGTTATACTGTGCTAAAATGATAGGATGAATGAGTCACTTTGAGTAGCAAATAAATTCCCTTTAAAATGAATCCTTTTTAATCAATTTAACAACATCGTCTTTCGGTATTGTGTTTTCGTCAATAGATTAGATACTTCTATAATCAGACATCGACAATCGATTACTATGAGACGTTCCTTATCTGATGTTACTCAAAATCTAATTGAACGACCGGTAAGATTTGCATTGGTCATGTCTTTATACTGTGGACTTTGCTAATTTTTGAACTACTGTATAAAACGTTCTATAAACTTGTTGAATAATTCTTAACTTGAGCTAAAGTTACCCCTTACTCACAATTAGATTACATGTATTCCATCTAATATTCTTACATAAACGCAAGAAATATGCACAATATAAACTGGATTTACTGTACATATCTTGACTTCTACAGGCAATTTCCTACAGGCTACTACTTACGCCAAAGGGTAAACAGCAAACATTTAAATCGTTAGAACTCAATTTATCAGCACGATTTAGTAAGTACTACTTCTTGATCTCATTATCCACATTTTTTAAAGCTATTGTTAATGCTAATGTAATTAAATCTAACGGTAGTATGAAAACAAATACGGAATGCCGATGTTTATATGTAGTTATTGCAGTAAACCTATATGGTACATGGTAATGCTAAACAATTTCTATTAATTATAATATAATCAATTAAAACAGGTAATCAATGGTTTCAAGAAGTGCTGGAAGATTCTAACGGCAACATTCATTATCATCCGAATCTTCTTGATGATCCAGAGCTTCGTACCGGAAAGCACAGAGTGACATTGCGATTACCATCTATGATGGTTAGTATATCAACGAAATATTACAACCATTATGCACCAGTAATTATTAGTTGTTACCTTAACCATGCAAGATTTGACTATTTGTAAACTATTTTAAATATTAGTTATTAGGTCAAGGTAGTTTTATTATTAATTAATAATAATTGAAGTAAATTGCAGTATCTTGACTTATATAACTTTTCTGTACGAAGCCTTAACGAGACTTTATTACTATTTTCTTTATGGGTACGACAGTTTTCTGTCTTAGAATATTCTAAAGCTTCCGATATCAAAAAAGATCTCAATGAACGATTCAAGGGAAGATTTCCTACTATAGATCTGACTTTAAGTAAATTGCGTAGTTTAAAAAGAGAGCTATATCATATTGCGGTGGATTTATGTTCATTAGAAGCAATCACTGTGGCATACGCTTACGTTTATTTTGAAAAACTAATATTGAAGGTGCGTATACCACTTATGAACGTTATATTATATTTGGTAAGTCTTATTCCATCTTCAATACTTTATTTCTTCAAGTACTTGTTAATATAATGAGATATAAAGTTAAAGAGGTATTTATAATATTATTTCTTAAATCGTTCTACACCTCTGCATTATTAATTATATGTAATTATTATTCTGTCAACTGTGTAGGGAAAAATTAACAAACCCAACAGAAAGTTAATTTCTGGTGCAACGTTATTACTAGCTATTAAAATGACAGCTGACATTAAGCAAACGGAGTTAACAGAAGTTATTGATCAATTACAAGATAGCTTACGAATTAATCGTAAAGATTTAATTGTGTATGAATTTGATTGTTTAGTAGCTTTGGAATTTTCTTTGGCAGTCCCTCAATCTATCATTGCAGTACATTACCAGCGAATAATACATGAAAATTCATAGCGTCATGTTTTCAGTCCTAGACAGTAAAAGTATTTGATATTATCTATGAACACCAGTTTATAACGTACTGGAGTTTGATACTAATTGTATAGTTAACTCTCTATCGTAAAACGATCCAATGTAAATTACTGAAATATAAAAATTATAAAACGATTTTATATAAAAGTATTATTGGTAATTAACCAGCCAATCGTACATTTTGATAGTTAATTATCAGCATCATCTTCGATTTTTTTCTACCAAATGTTTAATCAATAATAATTTCTTGTGAAGAACATTTCATTGCTAATAAACTTACACTGTGATGAGATTTCATTTTTACTTTCATATGAAATGAGAAAGCTATGATACTGTAGTCTTCTCATATAATAGACTACTGTAACTGAATGAGGTAAAATTAACTTTTGTCTGTTACAGTATAGATTTTCGCATTTTCGTAAAGGAATACTCTAGAATGAAAATGTATGTGTAGGATAATCAAAAAGGAAAATAAATGTAAACTACTAGCTACTACAATACTTTAATACCTACTGCATATACATGTAGATTTTCTAATTGAAATTGTACATATCCTATATCTTACGCATCTAAACTACACAACGATCATCTTGCAAAGCGGCAATCTACAAATCAATACTTAGCTTCGGATTAAAGCTTGCTCTAATCATCGGGCAGTTTTAATATTAAAATCATACTCCGCTGTAATGGTAATATATGAGGTTTATAATAGATTCAAGAGTTCCTCCTTTACTTATATGTCTAATACTACGGTTAGGATTCCGCCACAAATCCCAGGTTGGCTACAAATAATGTTTATCAGTTTGAGGGCTAATTTTGATCAGAATAATTTAATAATACTGCAGTTGCTAAGATCCAACTGATATTCTTTAAACAACATACGTTAATCTGCTTTCAACTTATAATCTAACATGAATCTTTACTAAATATTTACAATATTCAAGCAAGTTACAAATCCAATCGGACGGCATCATTATCACACAATTTATTATTTTATTAATAAAGTCATCAATAATTAAAATTTTCTACTAATAAGTTATTTAGTGTTAGTTCGAACCGTTAATACTTGGCATTATAGCTAACACTAAACACCGCTTTGGTACTTTTGCATGATAGTTCTGGAATGATTAATGATTCTAATAATAGAAAATAGTCATATTAAACGAGCAGCTTTATACATCTGATTAAATAATTGTAGTATAACCAGTGATATCATTTACAGTTTTTAACAAGCAAGATTACGTAGATAACACAGTAACTATCTTATGTTGGTTGGGTTTAGAATGGTTTTTCATAAGTAGACTGTTACTTCAACTTGATTATACATCTCGTAAAGCATTTTTAATAGGCACGTAACTGATAAAATAAGACTGTAATCCTTAATGACATATCTGAGAGGAAATAGACTCTACTTAGCACATACAGTACAGTAGAATAAGTATAGCACTAATTTAGTTTATACAGAAACTAGAGATCAAGTTTATTGGTAACTTTAATTTATTTGAAGAAATAAAGCTCGTTTAATTGATTACCGGTACGCCTTGAGGGTATACGCGTCTATTTACAGTATATGGAATCAACTCAATCGTTCAAGCTATTGCACAGTTATTTCGAGTAATTTACCGTTTTCCGAACAATTATTATTAGTTTTACTAGTTACATCATGATTACAATTAATAGTTGAGTTCTGACTGCAACTGAGGTCACGATCATTCAATAGTGAACTCTCGCTAAATGTATTGGAATCATCATCAAGATTGCCTACCACATCGAGATGATCATTTTCGAATAGAAAAACACCGGATCGTTTGGTGCCAAATTTCTTTCTAGCTTTCTGCCAGATATACCTACCCAAGATAACCGTATAATGCAAAAATGCACTTAAAAAACCATGCAGAAATACCCATAAACCACCGACGTAAGCAAAAACTGTAATAAAAGTTAATATACCAATGTTATAGTTAAATGTGCAGAATGCGCTCTTGTCGGCAATATCGGCTGATATTGGATGATAGCAGTGTAGCGCTATATTGGATGCATTATCAGCGCATCGTTTCAATTCTGCATCAACACATTGATCACATAAGTAGCATTGAACAGATGGAGTTACTTGGCATAAGAGTGAAATTTTCCACAAAGATTCAACGCATACCCAGGAAATATATAACCGACTAGTCCAAAAGATAAGACAAGTTGATGTAACCACAAATAATGCTACTAAATTCCAGATAACATGAGCATTGCTATAGGTATACAGGGGAAAATGTGCTTTAAATTTAAAAGGTAATCGTCGCCTTTTAGTGAGGAATGTTGTTAAAACTAGGGCCATAGTAAAAGAAATGGAATAGATTTGTACAAAAATACCATTGAAACGAGTTTTAAAATATTTCCAGTCGAAATCGTGCTGATTCCATAAATTAATATATAGATAGATGAGAGTAGTAAAAATTAATGAAATTGTCATTAACCAACTTGATCGACCAGTAAAGCGATTCCAAGAGCACACACCAAAGTAGAAGAAGAAAAAGAGCAATATTGGAGCGTCAGTAAATCGTCTAAATGTGTTGTCTGATTGTAGAAATTCTCGAACAAATATTCGCTCAGGTAATTCATGATTGGCTAAGGCATCAAAAAGTGGCCGGCGACGTATAAATTCAATCATACCAACAACAACAAAAGTAAGGGCTATGGATGCATGAAGGCATTGCGAAATAAATCGAATACTTCTACAGTCCCGTAAAGATCGGACAGGATAACAGCAACCAAGTTGAGACCATAGGCTCGGACGATGTTGTTGATTTCGATCATCATTGATTGAATTGATGCAGTCGGAGTCTGTGGTTAGCGTAACGGACATGATGAATGACTAACTACTAACAAGGACGAAGCGTTAATCTTAATATAACAAGTGCTACATATATTCCATTCATTCATCGATGTCTACAAATAAGTTATGATTTTCAATGGAAAGGGCCATATCAGTCTCTCCAAGACGATGGTATGATTAGCAATGGTCAAAGCGATTTTGGGCTTGGAAAATTGTTCTAAATTGCGTAGATATCCTTAGCAAATCCACGATACGACAGTGTTGGATCGGTGTATCGTAGAATATACTTTTTCCTCGTTTAAACTCGCTTCAATTCTCAACAGCGAAGACTATCCGTGGATTAAATCTGCCATCAAAATTTGATATCACTCAATCAGGCTCAATTATTCGGATCTTGGTTGAAGATGGGAAGCGATGAATGACATCATTCAGTAATTAAGTAATAAATAAACAAACAACTGGCTCCAGAAGAACAACAAGTTACCAATGCCATTCGTCGGTGGCATTCCGTCGTCGTTCTCATTAATCCGATAATTCCTCTATTAATCTACATTTATTAAACCCAAATAGAGGGTCTCTAAGTAACGGTATTCAGTAGAAGTTATTGCGTAATACACGACGCCGCAGCGCGGTACAGTACCGGTTCCCAATGTTTGTTACGTAAGCCAGAGGGGCGGACGGACGACCAGTGGCCATTGAGTGTAAATTAATGAGCAGGCTTACTATTTTCTGGTCATTCCACTATACGCTACCACTGAAACCATACTGTATACCACACTGTACAAAACCAACTCAGCCGCTATACTGTACTGTGTACAGCATTTGGATGAAAATCGTGGACAGAATGTGGACAGTACAGTATACTGTACTGTACACTGTAATTAGGAGTACTGTACACTTTGTCACGGACCACTGGAAGGAAATACTTACAACAGGTACAGGCCAGGCCGTACTGTACTGTACAGCTGAGCACCTTTAGGGTCATACAGTAGAGCTCTGGATACTTTGTTACGGACTACTGGAAGGGAATAAATACTTACAGCAGGTAGTGTACAGTACTGTACACTGTAACAGTACAGTACTGTACTGTACTGTACAGCTGAGCACCTTTGGGATCATACTGTGTACAGTACACTTTGTCACGGACCACTGGAAGGAAATACTTGCAGCATGTAGTGTACACTGTACTGTGTACAGTACACTGTACTGTAACAGCTGAGCACCTTTGGGATCATACTGTACCGTACAGTACAGTACAGCACAGTAGAACTCTGTGCACTTTGTCACGGACCACTGGAAGGAAATACTCACAGCAGGTACAGCTGAGCACCTTTGGGATCATACTGTAGAGTAGAGCTCCATCTGGATTGCACAGGAACCGCCAGTCAGTCTACAGTCAAGAAATCTGCAAATCGTCATGGCCGAAGAAGGTGATTGCGCTAATTTATTACTCAATATCACCTGTAATCCATCACCAATGGTAACAACAGCTGATCCTACAAGAAAGAAAGACAAATCCAAGGTGTAGTAGTTGGATGTATTAAGCTGTAGCTTTAAAGTAAGAGTGGCCATTGAATGAATCCACGTGAATTCATTCATGGCAATCTGCATTGATACAACTAGAATATCATAGACTAATTGAAATCATTCAATCAGTGAAAAAAAATCTCGAAGAATAGCATTATAATTAGAAATTTGATTAATTCTTACTCCAAGTCAATGCTATCAAGAATGCATTGATAGTAAGATAGAGTGGAAATTGAACAGTTCTATTCTGTTACTATGAATTATTAATTAATGAATTAATTTGTAGACACCGATCCACTGTCATCCACCAGTTGATTCATTCACTTGCATTGATACAACGGAGTGTCCTTGGTTATGCCTATACCCATGTGGGTATTTTCTAGTAGTTTATGGTAGAATCTACCTTATCTACCTCCACAGTAGGCTTCAACGCACGCGGATACATCTATCAATTGCAATAATGTACTTGATCTACTCTTGAAAATAGCAGAATAATCTGAATAGAACGATGTACGGTATTCTTGATAATAAAGACACTGCACAACATAGCTTAGTCAGCAGTTCGTTCTTCATGCAATGCTTCAGATATCCTGCCCTTTATGGCTCACGTAGACGATCAAATTCATATAGTAAGAAATTTGACTCAATGAAAGTCGATGCTATGAAGCCAAGAATAAATCATAGCCAAGTAGCTTAGATCTCCAATATAATGGATTATTTTATTTTAAGCCTAAAATTACTGTAATGCTTGAGTTGATTCATTCATACTTGTAAGCGTGTATAAACTTTAAAAAATACTATTCCTCTGGACAACCCTTTAGTTGATTCATTCATGCTTAGAGAATACTATTCCACTGTACAATCCTTTAGTTGATTCATTGGAGGCCATACAATTGCAGTACGAGTATGTCATAGCTTCTGCTAGAGTTACGATGTAGCGCTATAATGCAGTGCATTTAAGTACTACAGCACTTCATCGTGCTATTCAGTGCAGTAATTGATTCATTCTAGATCATACAGTTACGTCTATTATTTATAACTAACATTTGCCATGCAGAGGTATGATACAGCTAATTCCACTTTGAAATTCTTGTAGTCATTACGTTGATTGATGCTAAGTTATGAATTGCAATATCTAGGCATTTCTAGTCAGATTTAACACATCAGCCACAGTCAATATTTGATTATTTCCAAAGGATTATGATGGCTTAAACATTAGTATAGCTATATCACGCCAACACGTAGAAGCTATCCATAACTAGGAATTAAGTACACTCAGGCAGCTACAAATATACGTATGTCTTAACTATGCTAGGACGATTGATGTAATAATTGTAAAATTTATTAACGGCCGTAGTATTATGATGTCAGTCGATCAAGCAGAAGTCATTTAGGTTTATTATATTCATACTGTAAATAACAATACAGTAATGTATGCACTTGTAGATCGTAACAACATTTTTGATTGGATCTAGGACGATTAATGGAATAAATCTGAAAGCCTATTAGTACTCAAGCTGGACAATTTTATCGGCGTAGATATTAATTTCAATTTCGTGTTCTGTGATTGATGAATAGGGTAGTAAAAGAGTTCGAACAAACAAAATGGTCACTAAACAACAAGACGTAGCAAAAACACGAACGACCATAGACACATCCAATTTTAAAAGAAAATTAACAGACAATTCTTCTCGGGAAGATATGAACAAGGGAACTGTTCAATCCACTAAATGGGTAGGTCAATTACAGATTAGCTTGGTCAATTCTTGGTAGAATATTGGTATAATTAACAGTCAGTATCAGATCTTGATATGATTAATCTATAATAACAATTTAGCCTAAGCATCGAGCGATTTCCTTGGTCTATAGATATTGTAATAGCAGCAGAATGATTGCTTGGTACTTGACACTATTCTTAGTTCGATATTTTAAGTGAACTAATATTACACCAAATAGAATTCAATCCATTAAATAATTTATTAATTAAATGTATATACCAAAATGACATCAGATAAAATGATTACAATTAGTGCATAGATCACTAATTTCACTTATTTAATTCAATTTATAGATTTCTTCACTATTTACCAATAATCCAGAAATACCTCAAGTACAACGGTAATTATAATACACCTCTACCTGTGTCCTCAGAAAATTGAATTAAAAATGGTTATTTATATAATCTATGTTCTGTAAAATAATCATCAATAAATACGACCGTATACAGTCATTTCATCCTATCATTCTATCGTAGTTCGAAGAAGCTTAAAACTCATCATCAAGTCTTTACTGACGTCGAATTTACAAACGTCGCGCTATCACCCAGATTGGTAGGTAACGTATAACACAATCTTAAAATATACATGTTAAAATATTTAACAGTAAATTACTAATGAGTTATATTTATTTACTAGCAATCATTTCTTGTGTAATTAGATATATAACTAATTATTTTACGATATACTTGAAAGCAGAAATTACATATTACTGCGTTACTTACTGTAATAAACTATGTGCAAATTGTACTATGCATTTCGTAGACAACTTTTTTCGTTACCCTGTAGGTATCACATTTAGAACAACACTTCCATTATCAGAAAATGACATGGTAAAATTTGTGACGTTAATACCAGTGTTCAACACTGCCTCATACACAAACTTTGATACCTTATTATTATAACAACTTACCTTAATAACTTAAAGTAATTAGCTACCGACCAATACCATTTGATATTCTTTTAGTGTACAAAGAAAAGCGATACCGTCAATACTAAATGGACGTGATTGTCTTATCCAATCACAGACTGGAACAGGTACAATTTCTTGACGAAATAAATGATATATTTGCTATCTATAAATTGACCTTATTGTTTGTTAGGAAAAACAATTGCATATGCTGTACCTATTGTCAACAAATTACAAGAACTTGAACCTAAAATTCAGGTACGAATACTTCTCTTAATCCTTCGTCACGGTTTAACTTTTACCCTGCCGCCTCAATCCCTACTATTAATAATTAATATGATGCAATTTATTCTAGAGATCTGATGGCCCATATGCTCTAATACTCTTACCAACTCGTGAGGTTAATCATATACGAGTATATTTTTTCAAATTTGTGCATAAATGATTTTGTAGGATATCAGTTCTGGTACTGGTTTAATAACAATGTATTATAATGATTGAATTAAAAACCATAAATTTTCCGAAACTAAAATTTTTTTTCTTTTTAATCCTTTCAATATAATATAGCTGGCTTTACAAACAATGACCATTTTTAATAAATTACTGAAGGTGTGAAACTATTCTAATATTTATGATAATTTACTATGTGCTTCTTACAAAATGAGCTTTCGTGAATTAGACATTTTGCTGGATTGTACCTGGCTGTGTCACAGGCGGAGAAAAAAAAAAGTCTGAAAAAGCAAGGTAGGCACATTGACTATTTGAATGTAACATTAATTTTATGATATGGCTATATGTAATGTATTTTTATTCTATTAAATATCGCTAATCGTTAAATTGCTTACACTCTAAGAATTCGTAAAGGTATCAATGTGCTGATTTCAACTCCAGGAAGGCTCATAGATCATATTAAGGTTTAAAATTAAAGATGAAAATATTTATATACATCAAAGTAATTTATCTATGTTGGCCGTAATAACACATATGCCTCATAAACGTAGAATACGCAATGTCTACAACTTGATAACATAAAATGGTTGGTTTTAGACGAATGTGACAGGTTAATAACAAAAATTTGGCAGTTATTAGAGGCGAAATTGATACTCTTCTTTGTTTTTGCAAGAACATTTGGTAATAATTTTTCATTTTAAACTTATAATGCAGATTGTTAGATTTGGGCTTTAAAGAAGACATAAACACCATGCTTACTGCTTTAAATGCAGGGAGTGGACAAAGACAAACAATCCTTGTTTCGGCTACCTTAACAGCAGGTAGAAGCCTTAGTATTTATAAATGATTGTACCTTCAAGAAAGCAATACAAATCGGCAATATAATTTTTATCGGCCATAGTAAACAGTTAAATATATCTTGCAGGGGTGCAACAACTTGCTCGTTTGGCCTTGCAAGATTCTTGTTATATCGATGCTACCAGCACCATACCGGAAGATGAATATAACGCAACTACGATACCGGTAACACTAGCGAATGTTTAAGCTACCCTTATAGTTATCGTATCTGTTACATGGAATAAAATTTCAATCTACATGGATACAATTTTTTAGAGTGATTCCGTGCATCAAATACCTAGCGAATTACAGCAACATTATGTTGTTATACCTGCAAAATTAAGATTAATCTCACTTATATCATTCTTTATTCATAGCCATAAGGTAAAATTATTATTATAATAATTATCACTAAAAGAGTGCTGTAGTGATATGATAACGGCTTACAAGAAACTTGTTTAAATTTTATAGAAGAACAAAAAAACGAAATCGATAGTGTTCTTATCAACTTGTGATTCGGTGAACTTTTATTATAACATTTTAAACGAATTTTTGCCGAGATTCTTAACAAATGAGATTGAGATTTCAAAGTTACATGGTAATATTTCTCAAAAGGTAAGTTTTTAACCTCACAAGATTATTTCTTTTATCTCTGTTGTGTTCTAATTTATATAAATTTGTGATTTAATCTACGTGTTGTCCACTTAATACATACAATATGTGGTGTAGGAGCGGACGTCAACGTATAATAACTTCTGTAGGGCAAACCAGGGTATTTTATTAACGACGGTGCGGATCCATAGATTTATTATCGTACCATTTTTGACTGTATACAATCAAAACGATACGTTCAATTATGCTAAATCAGTAACATTTTTGTTCACATTAACATATTAATGTAAAAATGCTCAGGACGTTGCTGCTCGTGGACTAGATATTCCTGATATCGATTGGGTTTTACAGGTATTACAATATTTGTATATTCGTCGTAATTGAAACTTACGTTAAATCCTTGAAATAAGTAACAGGTATTCCGACAATTGTCTTAACTATTTATAGTATAATCCGCCTATTCAAGTTACCGATTATCTTCATCGAATCGGTCGTACTGCTAGAATTGGTTATAAGGGAAAATCCTTACTAGTTTTACTTCCATCGGAGGTATACAGCTCTTGGATAAATAAATATGGGAAATAAAACTTAGGCGTAACTATGATCTAATACTCGTTTGTAGTTTATTTCAAGTTCTTCACTATGAAGGGATCTGGTTGTCATACTGTATACATGTTTAACCTTCTTGATAAGCAAACGTTTAAGCCTGTTTAGATTTATTTAAGACTTAAAAATATTGTATATTAGGTTGATTTTGTGCATGAAATAACGAAGAAATGTGATTCTAGGTACTTTTAATCTTCATTAAAATCTGATGAAAATTTTCTGCTATTTACATAAGCAATTTCTAAATCGCTGATTTTTATTGTAAAGCTTTACAGAAATCGGAATGGACCAACTGTTAATTAGTCTAATACCACCGAAAAGAAAAAATATGGTATAATTGATACTGAACAAAGCATATGGATATCTTTATGTTACATTATTGCCTTGATCATATTGAACGTTAGAAGTAATAAACTAGCCCACAAGTGTAAACCTACATTAGCAATAATTATAATTATCTTTAATTAATACTGTAGTAAAAAGCCATATGCGTACATAATTACCTAAGTTCACCATTTAAATCTCTCGACTGCAGTTGAAATAATTGACAATATTTTCGTCAAAATGAATTTAACACTCAATGCTCCTTAAATACTTGTAGTCTTATCAGCTAGCTGCATCAGATTTGCAGATGTCAATCGAAAATTTTGTTAATTCATCGGCTGAACGTAAGACTCAAGCTATCTCTGGTAATTATATTATCACTGTATGGTGGATGATTCTAAGATATTGCCTTTGAATCATCTTACTTATCACAATCTTTCTTTCACAGCCTATCAATCTTACATTCGTGCCTATGGAACCTTCTCTAAATCTCTGAAATTCATTTTCCATGTAAGAAATCTACATTTAGGCCATTTGGCGAAGAGTTTTGGACTACAAGAAGCACCATCTAAGATCAAACACCAAATTATTACTAATCCGGTAAAAAAAAGAAGGTAAAGATTACGATATTAGTTTTAATTTCCCGTTACTTGAAAAAATGAAATAACTCTAATCTTTTGTCCATCTCTTTTATCCATATAGATAGTAGTAATCGGTTTATTGGAATGTTTTGATGGATTACTATATACTATATATGAATAGTAATGTGAATATAAATACAAGGTTATAAGAAATTCAGTATTTTTATTCGAACATCGCATACCACTATTGTGTTAATAACTACACAAGTGCGTACAAAAATTTAGTTATTTTAATTACAATTTTTGTAAAATAAAATTGGTATATCCTATTTTTTACAATGATTTTAAAGTGCACTTTGTGCCTGTGGTACATTTTTTAATTCACCTTATAAGTAGTAGTATAATTGATGTATAAATATTGAAGCTAAGTTTAGTAGTTATTACTGAATTATACAAAGTTATAATGGTATCAAACTTTAGATATGACCTATATTAAAATTTAATAAATGCACATTAATGTAAACGAAGTATACGCGATAAATCAAGCAATAATTTTAACCACTAACATAAATACTGTTCTACTTTACACAGCAATCAAAGTCATCATCAATGAGACTATCATTGATATGCATTGCTGCAATCGGTATCTCATACTTCGTACTTAAATCAATTAGTGATAACATATATCCAATAGAAAACAATCATGATATAGTTACATTACGGTAACTAGTGCATTGCTAAGAATAGTATAAAGTTTTGAATATTGCATAAATCTACAATATGTGTATAAAATCTTTAAAATTATATCATACGATATAGAGAAATATCGAAAATATATAATCTCAACTTTAGGACACACATAGACGTAATAATATTGGAAATTAGCAGTAAATAAAAATTCCGTAAATGATATTAGAAAATCGTAATTTAAGGAGATAATCGGCGGATAAATGTAACTTACTATACCTAAGTAAAGGACTACTAATGGATAAAATAAAGTATTTTATTAGAATCGGTTTTCAAGTAAACGTTACTTGATGATGAAAGTCTGTTTCATTTATCTTTATCATCTGTTTCATTGCTGGCATGCTTACTGATATCATTCATGCTGCTCTCCCGAATTTCTTTAAAACGTCGAATAATCTTTTTCCAATCGACAGCATCAATAATAGTGCTATTAAACTGTTGACTGGCACGTATGTTTGCAATATTCGGATGAGCTGAAGAACGTCGTCGCATAAAATTACGTATAACGTTATTATTTGGCGCTAAGCTATCCATTGACCAGACATCAGCATCCAGTACGTCTTCAGAACTTTGTGTACCTAAATCGGTGACGCATACATCACATCTTCTGCGAGCTAAGACGCGTAAGTATTCGTAAGCCTTAACAAATAAATTTAGTGGTGCTGGCGTGGAAGCATTACGTTGCATAGAGCTTATTAACTTAGCACGCCCAAATTTCCATTCTACGTCCGATTGTCGTTGAATTCTTTGATATGTATCGCTCATCATAGCAATCAATAGATTGATAAGGACGATGATAGAGATCACATTATAAATTCCAAAAACAAACTTAACAGCAATTAATACACCTGATGGAACACTAGCATTATTTGGTGAATAAATATCACCTGGCAATGGTAAAGCAGATAATTCATTTAAACCAAACAAGGAAAAGAATAATAATTCAAACATAGGTGCAATGCCAGTTACTGCTTCTGTACTTTTAATTCTTGGATCGACTGGTTTATAAGCAGTTGCCATCATTGCCGCAAATCCAGCGAGAAAAATACTCAAGACAACAAGAAAACGCAATAAATCTTTCATCAGATCACGTATAATAATGCCCCACGGCCCAAACAAATGATGAAAAGTTAAGTAATCCAATAATAGGATAAAGCATAACATCATTGCTATACCAAATAACATATTACGTGTATAGAGTGCTTGATAGACAGCCGCACCAGTTAAAAATAAACCACCCGTAATGTGAGCTACAATTGCAGCGAAAGAAAATACCAATACAATAGTGTATATCCAGCCAAGACCAGAGTGATCGCGTGTCGATGTTAATTCCGTTAGTAAATAACCAGATAGCCATATTATTAATATTATCTCTGACCATTTAGGAACTAAAACACTAACATTAGGAAACCGATCTTCTAATTGTATTGCGCATACAAATAGAAACCATATGATTAGAAATATATGTGAAGCAAGATGTGACATTAGGCGTATGATTGGAATTTTGTTATACTTATTTTTAAGCGGTAAAGATAAATAAATCCATATTATTGGACAGAGGATAAATGAAAGCATTAGAGCTAAGTATTTCCAATTACCCCAGGTCAAACCACCTTTCCATGTGAAACTAAGGTATTTTTGAACCGCTGGATGAGCAATGACACGCTTTTGTTGACATTCCAATAAAATATCAAGAAATCTAGTTTCGCTATCATCAGTTGCTTTGAGTAATGTTTTAGTATTGCCATCAGCAGTTGTTAGCTGCAATAATTCGCAAGCAATGTTTTCACAAAAATTACTCATAGCCACTAATTCTTGTGCTCGTTCTTTTTCTTTACGTGAAATTGTTCTAAATTGCTGTGATAGCTTGACCGCCGTATGGATAGGAGCTGCTGATGTTGTTATAAAATCTATAATAACTTGATTATTATGCGATTTACCGCATGACATTAGATCGAAAATAAACTGCAGATATCATTGAGTATTTTTGTAAATAGCAACCAGTACCGGTAATAAATAAATCAATCAGGCCATAAGTATAAATGAAGAAATAAAAGCAAATTAGAAATTATGTAAAGGAGGTACAGCAAAAATACTGTAACATCTACCTACAATATTATATATCCAATTTATCATTTTGATTTAAATTGCAAAATTTATCTTACATACCTTCTTATTGTTTAATAATTTTTCTGTATTATGAGGTTTAGTAAGCAATAAAGAAACAACTTTATGATGTCCATGACTCGCAGCGTAACATACAGCAATTTTACTCTCCTATTTGATATAAATAGTTGGGGTATTAATGTCACAATAATTTAAATGAAATTTAAGCTTCACAAGTAGAGTAGTATGCAATATAACATCCCACAGGAAATAAATATCATGATACGATGAACGATTGCAATTTTTATGCACCTTAGTTTCGGTCGTACTGGCTCCTGAATCACTCAGTAACTTCACAACATCTAAATGACCAGACTTTGCAGCATGATGTAATGGTGTCCACAAATTCTATTAGATAATCCAAAAACCAAGATTAGTAAAATAATATCAGCGATACCCTTATACTGATTTTTTCCGTCTTAGCAATATGATACCCCTAATGTAAGACACTTTTTAACGTATTATTAGCTAGGATACATGAGACACAAAGTGTCTAAACATCAGAAAGGACATATGTACGGTGCTATCTGGAGCTTACTTCATCCATGGCATCAATATCAGCTCCCTGACTGATCAATAGTGCTACCGTCTCGTAATGACCATTACTAGCTGCATAATGAAGGCAAGTTCTATTATAACGATCACGAATGCGTAATTGAGACGTTGATTTACTCAACAGCAAGCCGATAACGGATATATTGCCATTATTGGATGCTAAATGAAATGGAATACTGCCAGATTCGTCTGTTGAGGACTTATATTGAATCCCCGATGAATTCAACAATAATCGGGTGCAGTTATCTTGTCCTGATTGAGCGGCTAGATGTAAAGCTGTCATTCCTTTTTCGTATGGCATCCTCCAAGAAACAGCATGTTTACTTCTTGTTGGAGCCTGATGAGACACAAAATAGTAGTAGTATTAACAGTTAAAACTAAGATAGGAAATATTTCGATAAGTAGTGTATTTGGTCATAACTATTTTCACAATTATCTGATATCTAAGAGTCTAGTTTATAAACCGTTCCTAGATTGCGAGTTAAAACTGCGAATACTTTATAATCTCATTATAGAATTGATAACAGTATCAATTAAAGCCTAAATTGTACTTGTTAATTCCACACACATTAGGATAGCCGGAGCAATATACTCGTAAGACGAACGTTTTACTTAATTAAATATGGTTAAATTTGAAATGATAGATATTATTAATGTACCGGTATTGCTATGCAATCTAGTGCTACACTTACAGCGCTGGGAGTATTAACAGGAATATAGTTGATAATTTCTTGTAAAAATTCAGGCTGGCCATGTTGTGCGGCAACATGCATTGCTGTTAATCCAGTCTGTAAAAATAAATGAATGACTATTACTGACTTATATCTATTTTCCAATTCCCAAATGTTAAATTATCGTTTAAGTATACATTCAATTAATTAATATTTTTAATAATAGTAATCAAGTGAATATCAAATATGTACCTAAAGATTGCATACTGTATATGAAATGAAATTTAGCAAGCTCTTACCAATAAACTAGTTGCAGTTAATGCCATCTTATCTTTTAGACATTCTATTATATTAACGTGTCCAAATCGAGCCGCAAGATGTAAAGGAGTCAAGCCATCCTATATGATTATAAACATACAGAACATTAAACTGAAGTGAAAAACAGGAAGATGCAAGTATGCTACAATAAACAAGCGAAGTAAATCATGAAACTAAAACCAAAAATCCTTTCGGATAATTGTCTCTATGCCTATTTCGGTTAAAACAGATATACTCGTGCAATATTACTATTGAGTTATAGCATAATAAAATAATTAACTAATAAGAGATTAATTATTAAATGTACACAAAGAAGAGTATTAAAACTCATACTATCTTACACTAAATTGATGGTTAAACTTTATCATTTTTAAATAATAACTCCTAAATATCACACGAAAAAGTAGACAATACTGAGAAACGCCATTCAGAAATGAACTTGCTTAAATTATGAAATTGTAGCACGTATGACATTAATTTGTATTTCACATACAGAGGTCTCATCAGTTGGCAGAGCTCCATTCTCGATTAAAACCTGAACGATCTCTGCATGTCCTTTACCAGCAGCCAAATGTAAAGCAGTTGCTTTTCTTTTCTACAATATTTATTAACAGATTCGTGATGGAATAGTCGTAATTAAATTATAAATTAACATAACTTTTAATCTTGTGTCAAATTCTATCACAGAATAACGCAATAATTGTACCTTATCTTTTGTAAAAAT